ATGTACCATACATCAGTGAATCACCGTTTTCGTTAATCATATGGGCATGCATAGTCTTCAGGTTTCTATCTTCAGAGAAGGACATGCTTCACGATCAGATGAGCCAAGAACATCAGGTGAGAGCTGCTGAAGATAGAATGAAACTGGAAATGATGCGCTCTAATATTGGAGTTCATTCACTTTGTTGACTTTGTTTGAGTATGCAGGCCTTTGATCCAACTGTTAGAGCTCATCCCTTTGAACACAACTGCCACAATGTCTGTGAGAATCACTTTCTTCAACACTCATAGAGACTCTGCAAAATCTTGATATGAGCGGGACAGCATCCATCTTCCTAAATGCACACAATTTTTCTTTTGAGTTGGTATTTAGTCCTCTATACTCATCGAATTCCAAAAAAAGGGAGGAAAAAGAAAACCTTTGATTTTGCTTTTAGAGTATGAAAGAGATTCGCACTCATCTAGTAGACTTTGGTTTCAGTAATTTGGATTATCAGTAGGTGGATCTCCCCGACGACACAGTCGAACAGCTCAGACTTTCGTCAGATTGATTTAGTCTTAGGGTCACAGCAAACTAAGAGAAAGGGAGAACAACAAGGACAAAGATATATAGATTTAAAACCATATTTTCAATTCAGTTATGCCAACAAGAAAGCTGTACGATTGATTAGTTGTAACTGTGCTCTAAATCTAAGGATAAGGCTTACTTCCATTCGTCCAACTACTATATTTGTCTATACATCAGCTTCCAAATACATAAAGCTATAACAGATGGTATACCTGATCAAAAAGTGCTTGACAGAGCTTTCAAAGAGAACATATGACTTGAATTACTCAGACAAATCCACAACAATGGAGAAAGCTGATTTTCCTCGGAAAGGCCTTTTGTTGTTTCCAAAGCACGCATTTCAACAGAATTGGGAGAAACTTGGCGATTCTGAAGCACGAAGTTCTGGAATGTATCAACCTTGGGTTTTGATAGTCTACTAGGGCTGACGATTGTCGGACGAGTGCCTTATTTGATGAGCAACCAAACTTTGGCATTGTCCCCCACAGAAACGTCTTGGGATGCACATGACAGAAGGTTGTAGAACAAAGCTCTTTTTGTTCTACAAAAAGAGCTTTGCCGTTTGGTCGTTTGGCTCAACTGGCTTTTAGGGAGACCTAGAGAGACCAAAAGAAGTAAATATAGGGTCCAAAGGATGCAAGTGAGTGGCAAAGGCTTTCTGAAATAACACCATAATGCGAAGCTTTAGCGGTTAAACGTCTACGTCGTAACATGGAGAGGTCAAAAGGTGGAAACAACGGACCTATATTTTGTCGAAGATTTACAACAATGAGGAACATGAACAGATGTACTTCCAAAGAGCCCAAGTGCACTTCAAGCTAAATGTCTGCTTCATAAAAGTCCCTTTTCTGAAAGCTCATACATTTTCGTGTGCACATGCTCATGCTTCTCCAAGCTTCACGTCACTTCCATTGCCTGCACACATGTGACTCGATGAATCACTGAATAGGTCAGATGCAACTGCATGCCCAAAACATCACAGCCATGCAACGTTTATTACACTTACAGTTCGTCGACATAATTTACAGCGGAAAAGACTCCTATTGAACCATCCGCCTCCACGTGCAGTGATACTTCCAACTCCCAGCTGACCCTTGCTTCATAACTTTTATTTTGTTTGAAGAGGATAGTTGACCGGTGAAACACATGCCGAAAGTCAAATGCAAAAGGGGAAAAAAAAAAAACTCCATCATACTTCTTCGCATATTTCATGGAGCCAAGTGATGAATGATTATATCCTTTATGGGGCTCAGCGGGATTCGTAAAGAAGCCAAAATTCGTTAGGGTTTGGAGTTCCTGCGGGAGACAAACAACTTTCAGAGCAGCCTCATTCCCCTAGTTGGTGCTTTGTGGTAGCGACAAACTTGAATAAGATCTCCATTCCATGTTGTGTTGTTGCGTGTATGTTTTGTTACTTCGATCAAGGTTGAATACCCTCCCCTGAGGCATTATAGATATCTAGCCTCCAAGACCTTTACGAGTATACTTACGATCTTTAAGAGCCTTTTTCTATGTATTTCAGAATCTCCTTCTTGTACCTGCTACAAGGATAACTAACGGATACAAAGGAACCCTCTCATGCTTATCTATAGCAGTACATGACGGAATCTAGCAACTTTGATTCCAGGGCCAACAGGATATTCAGAAGTTCCAATATTTCCTGAGTTCCTTGAAAGCGTGGACAATTTTTTATCCACCGACCTGATCAACTGATTTCCGAGCCCAATTTTTCTCCAGAACCATCGATGGGCTTTATTTGTTTTATCCGCACCTAGAAGATGAAGCTGGCAACTTCCTTAGGAGAAAATACAAACGATCGTGTTTGCCTTTCCATGCTTGAAGCTCTCACTCCCCAGCCCTTTCTGCTCTTGTGCAGTACATCAAGTAATATAGCAAAACCGGAGGGAAGACCCCATCAAGTTGTTCAGGGATGAAACGAAATGGGCTAAGCTTTGGCTGGGCCCCCAATTCGACCCTTCTTCTCTACTCAAACGCTGCGATTGCGTTTGAAGAAGATCATCGGCCGATTGATTGATTGGTATCGTCTGTTATGCTGGCTTGCATGAATGGTCCTACGTGCCTTCACTAAAATCCCTCTTTCTTGCTGACATCTCTCCGAGCCCATCCTCCTGCATGTCCTAGAACTAAAGCAGATTTAACTCAAACCAAACGACTTACACAACACTTACTTCTATAGGAATGTCAGGTGCAAATAGATGCAGGGTTACAAGTCCACAATGTAATATTCTTTGCAAATAGTGGATGGAAATTCTCGATTGAAGTTTCAACTGCCGTTATTTCACCGACTCCGCAGTCATTGTGGGCGCCGTGTGCCATTTGCTTCTGCAAGATTCCCATGTGGAGAAACCTTTCGAGAAAACTATTTCTCAAGCAGGCTAAAAAATCTGCGAGTAATGAAGGTGCGGCTATGGAACCTATTTACGTACTTACTCGATCAGCTGGAAGTACGTTTGGTCAATGGAGTGTAAGCGAAGCATGTAGCAATGTTAGTGCAGAGAGAATAAAGAACACTGTTGCTCCTCTACTGAGTCTAGTCTCCGTAGTAATCCAAGGTCAGGTTTGGAATACGTACAGGGCCATGAGAAAGGTATATTAAAGAATAGATCCTTGTCAACTCCTACGTAGGTTGATGTAAGTGAGAAGTACTCCCAAATATTAAAGCACGTGACAGGTCGTACCAACATGAGACTGTATGGCCTCTACGTCATGCCAGCATGTGAAGAACTGGAGAAGAAACTTAGAAAAGTAACTGAAGTGCATGAACGCTTACATACTCCCCGGGACCCATTGTCAGACGTGGATTGCTTGTGATTTGAACTTAATGAAGGCAAGAACTTGAGTGGTCCAGCAGCCACCTAATTACCAAACACCATCTTTTTTTAGCCTTCGAATACTGTATGCTGGTCCACCGTTTGCAGTAAACATAACATGAGTATCTCTGCGAATACAATTCAAATGATTCCAACTTGTGTAGAATGTCAATTCTACACAATCGCAACCTTTGCAATTCTTTGGCATCGGCCGACCTCCTGGAATCGGTACGGAGGAACCAGGTTTCAGTTGAAGGCTTGCCATCAACCTCCACTGGTATTGGAATTGGAGGGGATAACCGTGGGCTTTGGGAAATCATGCGTTCAGTGTAGTGCATAATGGCGTGAAAAGCAAACCCATTGGCATCAGGTTGGAAATATCTTCAGGATAGCTTCAGCACGTAGAGAGAAACATCAATCAGGCGTCGGTTGCGTGATGCTTGCATCATCCGGTCACGTAAAGCAGTAAAACATGGAGCATAAAGGTCTAACTTTAACAACTCGTGAAGGTGATTCGGGACTTGATTAGCACTCTCTGAGAACAACCGCAATACTCCCAGAATATCTCGAAGAGTGAAAAGGAGAAACTTGACCTTTCCAACTAGCAATGATTCCCATTCGGGTAGGTCGTTACTTCAGCTTCTGTCTAAGCTGCCTTGTTTTTTGCTTTGAATCTTACCAGCGAGTGTGTACCTGGATCACCAAACTTCTATCAGTAAAACCCAAAGCCTAGCCAACCCCCTGAAGATATTCTTCCACAGGTTTGTTTGTAGCGTTATTGCTGGTTACACACTCATTACATTCTAAGTAAAACCTGGTGGGAAAGTTTCGCTTTTGACAACGTCACAACTAGGCCAGAGCTTGAGATTTGAGAACAGGAGACAGATTCCTTGTCCAGAGGGGATCTCGAGAGATGGAAGTTTGCTTGATTCAATTGGCTCCAGTTGACATGATTTCTAACTCAGTCGTTTGTGAAGAGAATCGAAGAGGTATCTTGATACAGATGGTATACACAGGACTAGTATTAGAATCAGGTAGAACCAAAACACGTTTGTGTGGATTCTGAGTTCGGTATCCGAGACAGCGCTCCTTCAGAGAATAGAGTGTTTGGAACTAACGGAAGGGTGAAGCTTTCAGATGAGCGCGTCTGAGATTTGGACACTGGAATAGGTTCAGATAGATACAGAAGAGTGTTGGGCAATTTCATTAGTTCAGTTTTCGAAACAATGTTGTTTATGAGTCTTTGGGATGACGATGCTCGTTGAGCTTAATAGGACCCATAGTTGCTTAAGCGACAGCAGATTCAATGAGTCTAACCAAGTCTGCATTTAGTATCCTGTCGACTGCTGGATGACGTAAGACCTCGAAAAATTGCGATCAGAATACTGCCAAACTGAGCTCCCATCCTTTGAAGTCATCCATATGCTAATATTGACAGTATCATTTGTCAACGAAGGTCGGCAGTTCCTACAACACCCGGAAAGGCCAAGTTATGGGAGTTCCATCAGAATCTACATTCTCATGCTGAAGGAGCAGTGTTATCAAGGCTGGATCCACAGTCAAATGCAGATTAGACAAATTTCAAGAGAGAGGACAGTGGTGACAAAACAGCATTCCTGCAGAAGCATGTCGGTCATGTTGAGCTGCCAGTTCCATCTCGATAGTACAAGAGATTCTGATGTCACCAATTTGTGCACGTGTGCATCTCCACTGTGACGCGATTTGTTCATTCTACAGATCAGGACATCAGAATTGTTGTTTGACCCGATCCAAAAGTAAGCGTGTGTCGAAATCCCAAAATCCACTGGACGAGCACAGTCCACAACAAGACGGACCTGCTTGGCACCCGTTTAGACTTGTCAAGCGTTTTCCATGTTTTAATCGATCTTCTCTGCCCCTAGGAGAGCCGGGCTCCCAGCCTAGGCGCGGTCGTTGTGCCCCAATCCGCAACCATTGCCTCAGCACGAGTCAAGCTCCAAATCCTGTTTTGGACTCTCACTCTCCACAGCAGCCACGTCTCACCACGCAACACTGTTGGAGTCAATACGAGTCCCCGCAGTCATGGACGATCTGCCATCCATCCACCTCTCCGAGGCGTGGACATGGCTGGATCCTTTGAACCCTGAGAGGTCCCAAGTTGTACCCTGTCCCGCTTAATCCCAAGAGTCAAGAGGTTTCACTCGAGGGATCTTTTCTCTCAGCATCCAGGTACACAGCGAATGCATCCTGATGCTCAGGAGCATGAGATTGTGTGTCGCAGACAGTATCCAGACGACCGACTAGTAGCAGACAAACTTTGAAGTCAAAGGAGAAAGAGCAACCGCGTGCTCGTTATTTATTCAGGCGTGCAGTATTCCATATCGAATGATTGAAGGGAGCGCAACTCGTCGCAGTTCTGTTATGTATGCTTGACGTGAATCCGTCGCGAAGGCACTGCTTTCTGTTTGATTCTTCAGAGTAATTTCGCGAGAAGTTGTAGCAGCGAGAGTCGGACGATGCACCCGACTGTACACCTTAGCTGTGAAGGAAAGAAAAAGGATCTGCAATCTCCACGTGCGGACTGAATTGCACGAGTGCGGAATACATTCAGACGCTGCTCCGCGGTTTGGAAAGCTCGGAGAGTTGAGTTCAGTGTTCTGCCTTGTGACTTGATATGTGAGTCGCTGACAGTTCAAGGTTGTCATGTCATGTCATGGTTGACCGAATCGATCATGAAGATTACGGTCTGGACGGAATTGGATGTCCAACCTCGTCACTCGCGGAAAGTGTTTTGACATCAGTTTCTCTGATTCGGAGGAAGTATTGTACAGTTAGAGAAGCAAATCACCATGGATGTTATAGTTTTGACCGAGCTAAGTAGGGGCTACAGTTTCTCATATATGATGAGCTTAACCTTTTCAGTCCGAGTCCGATTCCATGCCCGTGGCCGCGACGTAACATGTGGCAATGTATGTCAGGCTTCCTAAGGCTAGCATAAGAGTGCCTCCAACAATCTGCACGAACTTCTGGGTGGTAGTCCTAGTTCTCCGGGTGTATCCTTCCACTGCAACCAAGGTATGGTCGGTATATCCAACCGGTGCAGAATGTATGCCTCTAACTAGCAGTAGTCCGGGAATGATAAACACCACCATGACACCCCCCGATGACGCCAGAACTGAGAATACCTGAATTCGTGTTTGATCACAAAAGTAGAATATTAGAATTCTGAGAGGTAGACCAAGAGATCAATACTCGAGTAATATATAAAAGAATGTAAATGACCTTTCTAGGTTAGACGTGTGTGGAGTACAAATTCATACCGTTCCAACATCGTTGGTAAGGAGTGCAACTGTCAAAGTGCAACCCGCTAGTAAGAGAGTGAGTAAAGTCTGTCGGACCACTGAGAAAGCAGCCACAGGTGCCTTCATGAACGCCTTGACAAAGTCGTCCAAAATCGATCTTGCAGGATGTGACTGTACCGGATAGCAGACCATTGCTACCTGTTCAAGATTCAGTAATATTGTTATGAAACAGAGGAGAAAATCACAGGCAGACCATCTCAAAGACATCTACTGAAAGATAGATATATAAAAGCTCTAGAAAAGAACTGAGGGCTAAACTGAGCTATTGTGATAGGTGGTGCATAAATCATTGGTCTTTTCAGCACTCGTAGTAACTCTGTGGAAGGCATGATAAGGTTAATCAAGTCTAGTTGACAGGAATGAGTAGAGCGATGTATGGGTTGTGAGTAGACTTTCCGCTTGACGAGTAATACATTAACAGATGGCTTTCAGTGGATACAGATGTCTACACTTCCATTATAGAAGAGTTTGAGTTCCACGATATATAGCCATCTTACCACAGCCATGCCAATTCGAGCAAACTTCAAGAACCCATTGTTGTCACCGAAACTCTTCAGAACGTCGCTTTCTACATCTGGGAAAATCAAATAACCAAACAATCCAACCTATCCACATGCACCGCGAAGAATGTTAGAATTACAATGCGGTCGACCGCATACGGCTATTGTCTACCTCTCTACTTCAAAACCTTAAATAGCTGTATTTCCAGACGAACTTCGAAGAAACAGTAAACAAATTTGCATCTTCAAAGTACGTATTACAGATTGTATAGCAGGTAGTGAGACATGTGAAATTCAGAGCGTACCAGGCAATAGCAGACGACGCACAACGACATGGAAGTAAAAATGACTCCATCCATACGCTTCACTCTTTCTGATCTCTGTCTCGAGGATATATGCGCTATAACCTCCTCATCCAGAAGACGTTCCTCCAGGAGGCCTTTCTCATCACCGAAAAAAGGAGAGGGGTGCTCAGCAAGCTCGGCGAAGATTGGGACAACCTTGAACATGAGAAGGCACCGTCATTCGGACGACATGATAATTTTTTATAGATGAGATCAAAATGTATTATAAGGAGAGTAAACGTCGGTGTACCTGAATGTGACACTGAAAGGCAAAGACGACGATGTCTATGATGATGAATGCACGTCTACCAGATTCCCACATCAGTATCTGCAAGATGGATAAGATCTTAACATTAGTGATGTTATAAAATGCTCATAGGAATTTATGAACTTAATACTTAAACTAACAATGTTGTCTTTACAACTAAAGAATGAGCTGCACCACCCCGAAATTTGAAACCCATGAGTAACCAAACCGGGATGATTACGGGGTTTCCTTCAGTGTGTATGGTATCCACCTGGAATCAAGAAAGCTATAAAGGGCTCCTGGGGAAACTGTCAGACAAGCCCCTGGTGGACCGTCTGACAGTTTGTGAGTTTCGTCAGTCTTCAAGTATACTTTCTGATGTAATGTTAATCTAAGAGTCCTCCTCATTCTGTCTTTAGCAGTAAAATACTGATTGTCTATAGAAGAAAATGGTTACTAGCTTTTACCATAGCTAACTACTAATCTACTTTAGGGTTTAAGAAATGTTTAGCAATCATCCATGGTGAAAGGTGTGAAGATATAAATGAGTCACTACATCTACGTGATTCTTGTGATATCCAGAAGTTACTCAAGACAAAACATCCCAAGAAATCATCGCAGACATCCAAAGAATTGTTAAAATGATACACTTTCTGACATACATTCGAATTTATGTTGGCCAGTGGCTATAGTATAGGGTGCGCAGTGCTACCTTTCTTTCATTGAAAAGAGCAAAAAAACTTTAGTGTACATTTCGAAAGATAAAGCTTCGTTTGTGTGATAAATTCAGAGCCTTTGTATTCATGGTAGAAACTCATACATGAATTTATGTAAAGAGACTTACTTTATATCGAGGCACAAAGTACATCAATCACAAATTCTAAGCTCTGATGGATACTAATGGGTGTTACACAGAGAGAGGATGGAATTGTACATAAATTGAATAGGTCAACGAAGGACAAGGTTGTTTATGTATTTGCTCAAGCTAATCTCACGATGTAGTTTTGGGGAGGAAATTTAAAGGCTGCTAACTAAATTAGAAATACAAGACCTAGTAAAACAATGAAGGGCATATCAACATATGAAGCATGGATAACATGTTGTATCCATAAAAGATCAATCACTTCAATAATGCTTCTTTGGATTCTATGTTGTTTCAAGATCGTTTCAGCTAGATAGTTCGGATATCTTAGATGCGAAATTCCCTTGTGATGCTAATGCGGCCTAGTCCCATGTTTAGATTCATCCCAGTACATCTTCACAGGGTCTTGCCATTCTTTTTGCTGTAGTACTTGGTACCCATTGTTATCCACACGAGAAATACATGAAACGCATAATATGATGGGACTAAATCTAGCTCCTCATCCGAAGGGAGTACTGTGATTGTTAATGTCAAAACTGTTAATCAGTTTCTTTCAATGTAAGGTACTAAAAGTTTGTTTCTAACTTTTTCAGTAGGTAAACTCTAATTTACCGTAGGAATCAAGAAGTGTTTTGCAGCCAGCCAACTTAAGATTGGGTTCTCAAGTTAGTACCTCAACCTCAAGTTTGAGCTAAGAACTCTAGTAATATTGATAGTATTTAGGTACAGAACAGAAGCATGAGTACATACCTTGCTAGTGATCACGTTCTCAAGTAGTTATCACACCTTTTACTGTTGGATTGGTAATTGAGAAATGGAGATGGAGTCAGCACTCTAGGTGAGTTTCGAGTTTTAATCTCAAGTGTGGGGATTGTTGTTTAGGGAGTTTTGACCCTAGTGTGGCTGATCATAGCTAAGTTTGAGTCAAAGGGGAGTGGTAGCAAGCTATGGCTAATCCAGGAGAATCAAAACAAAGCATCAGGCCCAGCTGTGATACATCTGCAAGAAATTCGAATGAACTGCTGCAACAACATTCAGAAACATAAAAGTTTCTGAATTCTGTAATTATCATGATTACCTCCAAAATAAAATAAAAAACCTCCATACAAAAGTCTTACATCTGAAGGGAAGCCGTTTGCTATGAGGCCTTTGGCACCGATAGTCACCAGCACAACGGTCAGATATATGAGCATGGCCACCTGTACAAATCCAAAAAAGCCGAGTTTAATTGTTTTATTCAATTTTTATTTTAATGAGATTACTCTACTGCAAACTTCTAACTATTTCAACAGTGATATCAAGGCATACACATCAAGAACTCTCAAGGTTCAATATTGCGTTTTGCCCTTAGTTCGCAATTTCAGTTTCTTTACCTGTCTGGATATGAACTAAGTCTTGGAACCTGTGTACTTTGGTGGAAAAAGACTCAAACATTCGCTTTTATTAAAAACCAGATTTAAATTGCAGTACTCAATCTAACAACGTTAATGAAGTCGTGAGTTTACATACACATATAAACATATACTGTACATGAAGAAAAATCCACTCCCACCTGTATAGAATTTTTGATTAATCTGGCTTCACATTTGCCAAGAATGGGCGTTATAGCAAAATAGAAGAAAAAACCCAGCCACGCAGGTGCAGTTTGATACTTGTAACTATAAGATGTGTAATTCGCTACTTGACTAGTGTACTTTGATTACTTATTGCGATTTTGGTCCGCTCGGTCTTACCGTGCAGCTGTGAATACTGAAACTTACAACCACTTACGCTCGAAACAATATTACATGTTTCAAGCGTAAGCCTTACGAGAAACAATTATCGCGAGCGCTCTTGTACACAGTTCTGGATGAAGCTAACCAAGTTTACGCTCTGATCAACTCAGGAGCAGAAAATATCAGAAGCCAGATTGAAGAGAAACACGATGGCCTACTCACCGATATGACGCTACTGAAATATAACGCCATAAAAGTAGTCTTCAAAGCATGTGGCAAGATCAGCATGATGGTAAATAATAAAATTACAACTCTGCAGTAACAAAATAGTTGTAATTTCCAGGTTAGAGTAGTGTTTTTGTTAAAAGTTATCCACCTTTCGCTGTACATGCTCAAAATAATTACTCGAGGTCTAAAACATAAGATATATGCATGGACAGCAGTTAAAATAGGAATAGGTAAGCCCTTCATTCATTGCCGCTAGTAGCTGATTATGGAATAGACAAGAATCAAGAGGACAGATACAGTAGACCAGTCCAGTTTTATGTGCCTGCGATCAGCGAAAGCGGAGGTCTCCCCGAAAAGCTCGGCAAAAACAGGTGCAAAGACATCTCCTGCAAATAAAGTAAGGGTTATTGAACTCCATAAGCAAATGCTTCCTTAAAAAAAGGATAATCTATATTTGCAAACACAACCTGCACGCACTCTTAGTCCCACTGTCAAGACTGAAAATTCAACAACCAAGACGTTCCAGTCCCATGTCCAAATAAGATATAACGTGCACGAATGATGAGCAATTTAAAACCATCCATAGACTGAACTTGAGAATAACAATACATGAGGCAAAAGCCATCCTCAACCTTAGAGCTGATTCACCAATCACGAGAGGAACATGAACATCTTAACATACAATATGTGGTCCCTGAGATTTGCACTGACAATCTCATTGTATACTTTGCGGAAAATTTAAGGCATGCACTACCCGTCAAATTATGCAAAAGATGGTCATTCGTAGAAAGATTAAACCACTCATGCAAACAGTGTAGATTAAGATATTCACGTAATACACTTTTGAACTACCATTCAATTACAATTCTAACTTCACCCATGGGTACGCTCGTTAGATGTGGGGCATGAATCTCACATGTCTTCCGATGAGACTCTTGTTAAATGTATAATTCAGCTGGGATCTATCAATATGCCAATGTATGAATATACGGTTTTGTAAAACATTAAAAGTTGCGTTTGGCTGTCAAGAAACTGCATGTGTCATATCAACTCAGCTCTGTCTCATCTTCCAGCCGCATGTAATTTTCGTAACAGAAATCTGCTTAGAGGAGAGTACCTGTAATCATGAGATAGGAGATCATAGATCCAACTAAGAAAGTGATCATAGTCACAGAAGTGATAACAGCCATTTTGGACCCGAGCACTGAGAATACCAATTGCTGTAAAAGGCACGCAAAACGTAGTGCCAGAATCATTAGGGCTGACTATTCATTGCTCTTGAAACAAAATTGACAATTCCGCTGGAAACAAGAATGACAATTTAAAGTGACAAACTCACTTTCTAAGTGCTGATGAAGAAAATTCGGAAGGAATGTTCATACATGGTCATGACAGGTATATATCGTGACAAAGAGCCTATTTATCTAAAAAAAGATGTTTCTAGCAGGTGCATCAACTGTTAGTAAGTATGCAGACAAATGTAGTTGAACACCAAGGCCTTTCAGCTGCATTTATTATTCAGACCAGTCGCAGGTACAATTGCTGGCCAGAGAAATCACGCAGTACAACGGTCACTGAAAACCATGTTAATTTCTCTCTCGGAGCTTCAGTAATTAGTCACATGATATAAAACTAAAGATAGACGTTATTAACCAAATCCAAGAGAAATGCCTTGATGAAACCTCCTACAAAGCAAGTTAGGCAAAATAAATCAATCGAAGCTAGCGATCTGACAAACTACTCGTATTAGAAAAAATCTGATTTCGACTTGCACAAGGATCAGACGATATATTTCAAAACACATGGATTAAAAGGTGTGAATTACCTGATATGATTGCGAGCTATATTTTTCTGTGACTCTAACTAGGAGGCATAATGCAAAAACTTCGATAACCCAGATAATACCCGTGAAAAATAAACCTCCCACAATGCCGGTTCGTCTGCATGCATCAAAGCCCATACAGTCAACCAATGAATGAGATTGTAAGCTCAAAAGCATATTGTATCCATCATAAAAGACAATCGGTATATATATTCACATTTTACTTAGAAAGAATATTCAAAGGTGTCCGTCTAAAAGATACAACCGGTGGATACAGCTTCTCGGCCTTGTTCATGTAATGGAGCAGAGCTGCAGGTTAGAATGCATATTTCAAAAATTCTGTTTTAGTTGCTGAGATTCTTGTGGTTAACTCATGAAACCATGAAAAATTTCCGATTGTTTTCACTATCTGGATGATTTCTTAAAAGTTTCGCCAAGCTCCTGAATACAAGACTGTTCTACGAGGCCTCTATGCCATCCCACTCTATAAGGCTCAAGTTTCATTTGCTACCATATCATATTGATGAAACCATCGACAAAAATTGATCAACTGAACAGATATTATAGAGTTCTTCCAACATAATGTTGTCCTTCATGTAAACTTCGAAGATGAGGATTCCGTATAGTCCACATTGACTAATGAGTGAGAGATGTAATCGCTAAGCTTTGAGATTCAACTAATTTTCTGTACCATGTTCTCCACTTAGGCCTTACTTGACAACATCAAAAATTTATGAGTTGCAGTAATAACAACCATACAAAGCACATAGGAAGATTCACACATCTTAAATAGATAGATTGAGCTGCTGACGAGCTGCAAGCAGTCGAATCACTTACCGGAAACCGTAAGGGAAGGAGAGGACTCCAGCTCCTATAGCTGCATTACAGAGATTGAACACCGAAACCCAAGGAGATTCGTTTTTTCCAAATCTTCTCCTATTGCCGGCTAGGTCAACACAAACTTCCATCTCGACCCCTGGGCCCTGTTCAAAACAATTCTAGAGATCCCAACACAGAGGCGCCTATTGTGACAATTTGGCGTTTCCCAAAAGTCTGCAATTTCTCACGCACGGATCATTCGTTTCTACAAGTTCTTCCACGAGGACATCGTCGGCATGCAAATCAGCCACAAATCAACGTAAAAAGCCACTCCTTAGAATTATATCATTCCGAAAAGGTAAGCACATCGCTTGTTAGCTGACAACGACCATCTTCGCCAGGGCAACAGGCCGAGCTCCAAGATGAAGATAGTTCAACGGAATCTTCAGAGCATTTCAAAATCCTCCTCTATATCCTGCTCTGCACAACCAGAACTATCACCAAATTTCACCAACACCGCGTTGTCATCACTGTTGTTTCAGCAATCCTGTCCCGGTATTATTCCTTCCACGAGAGATTGTCAATTTGCAACCAACAGATGAAGGTTTGGTGTAAATCTACAACGCAGTCGGGATGGATCGGTCCTCCATGTCCCCCTCTACTCCCGGTCCAGGCTCCACTGCCCCTCCACACCCTCTCCGCTTGCAACCTCTCCAGGGCAAGTGAAGAGCAATTCACGGCACAGAATCATCTCCGGCCGCGCTATTATGCCGTGATCATCAAACAATGTCTGTCAATTACTTCCTCAGGAAGCACGTCACACTGTGCGCGCATCCATATTTTCTTATGCCAATTAGTAGATCTAAATATCTCGCAAATCACGATCGACAACAATTATCGCCAATAAAGTTTCCAGGAAAGATTTTTTGGGCTGCGAACGTGCAAAGAATCTCGCCGAAGAGGATCTAAAGCTCGAAGAATGTGGAGGAGTGGCAAGGCTCGAGGTCTACTGGCTGCTGGCCTTTCGAGACGCTGTGAACTGAGGTGCCAAGTTTCGCCAACTCATGGGCCGGGTTACAGTGCCACCGTGGGTCCTGGTCTCCAACTGGCGGATGACGTGGACGTGACGATCTTGCGCTCTGTGTACATGTGGCTTCCCGTTTCAAAGGGTTGAGGAGTGTTTCCTCTTTAACCCTTCGAAACGATCTTGGGGGATTGGCTCCAAGATGGGACGTTCTTGTACGAAATAGCCCTGAAGGAACCGCGAACAGTCTGTGATCCCCGCAAGGAATGCAAAATGAAATGGATTTAGGGATCTATCACAAGCCAAGACTTGCAAAACTTCCTGGAACAGTTAACTATTTTACATCATTATAAATATATAGCGTTGAAGCTAAATATATATGAAAATGTAATATGTATTTTGATTATCCAAATATATATTTTGTGTTGAAAAAGTACAAATTTGCTTGCAAGATCTAAATTATTGTTTGTATATCCATGTTACAATGATCTATAAACTTAAGAATTTCGTACATCCATATAATTTAAAGTCTAGAAAAAAATAAGGATGACATTTTTTGCAAATCATATACTAGGATACTTGGGAGAATATTATATATATCCTTTCATATGAGAGAATGATAATCATTTCCTGAAATTATGTCATTTGTGCATTTATCAAAGACTGTCACAAATATAATTGACTGCAAACATATCAGACGTATATAAACTATTTTTCTCATGCATCATAGTTTATATTATATCTATAGGAATTTCTTATAACTGTACGTATTTATCACCATCATCGTTGAATCATATTTGTCTTGTTGCATGCAATTTAAGACATGCATGTGATAGTATGTGATTAAACATATAATAATATTGATGTAATAAAAGAAATTTTTATAAATCTTATACCATGATGCATTATAATATCAACAACCACACACTGGTATTGTATTAGTATATTAATGGAGAGGAGCCTTACCCATTTATATCCATATACCTACATTAAAACCTCAACACATTTCCATGGAGTAGTTCATCATACTGAGTTTGATAATTTCATCAAGTATATTCATGATACTTTATCATAAAATTGTGATAAAAATGCATATGAAGTTTGATATTTAGTATGTAGATGTATCAATTAAACATCATGGGCTAGAAGATGACATCAATGTAAATGCGATACTCGCATCTAAATTCAAACTTTAAGATTTATCAGTGCGTCACCTTGTGGATTTTTAAATTTTTATGATCATCATCCTTAACTGCGGACTCATCCCTTTTATTGCTCAAGATCTGATTAGATTTCCCTTCTTACATCCTAAACCAAGCTCCATGATGCTACCAAAAGATCTGAATAAACCCAATGGATCAAAGTTCTGTCTAGGTTTGCTACATCCAAAAAAAATCATGAAAAGTTTCTAAATTTTTCTTGTCCATTGATTGCAACTGATCCGTTTTCAATGTCCTCGTAAACTTCCCTATGAAATTCTTTGTGCTTAGATTGTACTGCAGCTTCCATGATTATGTAGGCTTTCTCATCCAAACCTTGGCCGTTCCCATCGCCACTTAATGGGATCCCTCCATGATCGAACTCCACATGTGAAACTTCTTTCGTCCCAAGGATCCGTACCACCGATCAATTCCCCACAATTTTTTTTTAATATTAACTCAGCTGTAGTGAACACAACAATAGTTGCTCTCTTCTTGCACTTTCGACAGAGTTCTAACTTTCTGCCAATCTTCTTCGTTGAACCTTTTTCATCTTAACCTCAGGGATGTATGATTTAGCCCTTACTGAATATGGGTCCAGTCATCTAAAGACTAAGCTTTTGCCGAACGAAAACTTCCAGCACTATCTTTGCCTGTGTGACTTTCCAATAGCTCAGCTCTTCTTGGAGGTATTCCTGTCATTCTCCATAGCTTACAAAGCTGATGAGTAGGTCCCAGCGGACCACTAGAGAATAACGCGGCTCCCGAACTACTCCTATGCATCATCACGAACAAAAATGATCACCAGAGACAAACAGATTTTTGAGCATGTACGAAGGAGTTGCATCGTAACACACCATACGGTTTCATCATATTGGAATTTAGGGAACAAAACCAAAGCAAAATAACAGGGATAACCAAGTGAAGGCTCGGCAAGCTATAGTAATGAAGGCTTGAAAATAGGCTGTCATAACACTTATCAGATATGGAGGACATATCCAAGTGGGGCTAAACAAATCTAAGCTGGACGAGACATGAGCCAAAAATGTAGTGCAATATTTAAGGGTATGAAGCTGGCGCGGCAACAACTTATGTGATCGATTTCAGATTTCAGACGGTCCCGAAAGCAAGATCAGGGCTTGGGAGGAAACTAGCAATCAGACATGGTCAGGATAGCGAAACCCCAGAGTCAAATCCAAGCCCGGGAAGCCACAACAGCTGAAGAAACTTGCTAAGCAAACCAATTGTTGAGAGCTCAGTTAACCTTTGGAGAGCACAGATTTCGGAGCTCGGGCCTCGAATCTGTGATGGAGACGTGAAGACTTTGAATCTGAGATGGTTGGAAACGGGTTCAACTTTCACAGTCTCTATATATGGAAGCTGGACTGTGCCGGTAAATTACATTTTACATCAACTGTGAATATATAGCGACGAGACTTCTTCGAAGGTCAGCACTGTGTCAGTGGATGACGATGATGTTCGTGGCCGGTCAAGTTTATATGGAGAATCGAAAAGGTGTTTCAACACAAACTCCTCAGCGCAGCACGTGTGGTATCCTCCTCGGTCCACGTTGCGCGAGGAGCCACTTTTTAATATAACAGTAGCAGAAGCAAGTGGTCCGGCACCGCGGAAAGGAAATTGCATCACAGGCAATGGCCAACCAACGGAGACACATCCAGCGCAAGGCAAGACCAAGACAGAACAGGGTCATAATCCAGCGACATCTGATCTATAAGGTCGGTACTAGTCTTTTGACCATCGTGGACATCCTGCGAATTATCCGGAAGAGGATTGCAGATGTGTCGAAAAAATACCGAAACCGACAGGCCGACGGCGCAACTGACCACACACTTCGAGAACAGTAACTCCCAAAGTGTCATGATGAGCCTGGAGATAGCAGATAGACCCAGGTCCAGGAAGGATTTTTCTTTTATTCAGGATGTGCGAGCACAATTTCCCCTTTGACCTCGCGGAGGCGATCGGTGCCTACCAGCAAGAGCAACGAGAGGAGACCTACATTTACATAAATATGATTCTGATTTTACATTCCACTCAGCACCGGCGCTATATTACTCAACTCTGATGGCCATAGATATGACACTGATATGGGCACATCCGCCTCACACATTAGTAATGTGTGACATTACAATTACTTCCTGCCTGTGCAGCAAGCGCGGCCAGATTTCACTTTGCTTGCTCGAGGAGCGGATAATTACGAAGAAAGAAGATAGAAGATATATACAGATAATGAATCTGCAGAGAGTAGAATGTACAGCTAGTGATAAGCTGAACATCAGTGAACTTGCGTACTGAATGAAAGTCCTTCAAAATCCACGTAAACTCATGAGAAAGAGTTGGTCTAAGTGTGTGGGCAATTCATTATTCAACAGAAAGCAATCAAAGTCCCACTTCGACTGGTTCTTCGTGGAGGATCTGGATTTCCGCATCCAGGATGTCGGCAGGTTCAGGAGTGCAAGTCTTTACAAAGTGCTTTGTCCCATGACCACGAGATATTCTCTAGCCAGTCTTTCACCATCCTCAAAGACAGCGACGCAACTAGACAATGCTCTTGATACTCGCCGCAAATGTTCTATTCGTACTGGGTGCCCAGAGCGCAACCCCACTGTAATTTCCAATAGTCTTGATAGATGGTACAACACTGTCTTTGAGAGTCTTCGTGTCAATGAACCCTTCGCCGGCCGAGGGGCTCGCAGGGAGGGATATGTAAAAGGCCGGTTTCGAAGCCGTGATCCTGGTGATCCAATTGCTCCACGATCTCACAAGGTCATCGATCCCGCCCCGAATATCACATCCAGGGTTGTTATAGAACTGCACGAACACGAGATCCACCAAATTCGTCTCCATGAACTTGCCCGCCGAGTCAGGACCCAGAGAGGGATCGGGGCAGGGGCACTGAGGAGACACGCCGAAGTACAAATACTTGTACTGGTTGTCCTGGGCGATCTCGCGCAGCCGTCCTCCCAAATCCGCGTAAAACCTGTGGCCTCCACTGAAAATCCGCAGGTCGAGACCATCCAAATTCACCTCCCCCAGCGGGCTATTGCTCGAGCTGCCTCCCATGTAGTTGTCCCAGATGTCTTGCGCCAGCAGCCGGGCTTCGTCGGCCGTGTCGAAGCCGTAGCCCCCCACTTCTCCTCCCAGAGAGAGCAGCACCCTGATGCCTCGTTTCTGGCATGTCGCAATTTCCGAGGCGTAGCGCTGACACGCTCCCGTCGGAGCATCGCAGTGGCCTCCCAGATCGAGCACGGGAGACTGGTTTCGGCCGAATTTTGAGAGGTATGCTATGATCACAATGCCGTAGTTGCCAGACGCGCAGAGCGCAGCCAGAGAACCTTCCGTTTTGTCGTCGCCTTCTTGGCCCCAGTAGCCTACGACCTGACCTGCTCCGAATGTCTGAATGGCATGATGCGAAATCAGCACCATCAACGCAAGAATACCGAACTCAACCTTTCGAGCAGACATGAATCTCCGATCCATCTTTCAAATCCAATTAAAAGCCCAATTCATGTGAAGCTAGAGATTAGATGGACATGCTTTCAAAGCAGCAGCCTAAGCTCCTGGCCGAGCAGAGGAAGCAGAGACCATGAGAAATTTTGTGATGCAGGTTTCAGGTTCTGAAGCGACGTCGCTTCACTTCCGTCAGCTCGGAGGATAAAGAGTCAATCTTCGTTTAAGATGTCTGCATTACAGGAATCTCGGTGACTTCTCGTGCAGCGGTTTGACCTGACCATATTACGAGATTATATATTTGCACTGTGGCTGCGGGTCCGTTCTTTGCTTCTGTTGCATGATCTCTAGTCTTCGCCAAAGACAATCATTTGAATCCAGTTTCAACCCTGGCTTCCGCCGTAACGCCGCGAATCTCGAAAGGAATGGCAGACTCCAGCGCCACTCCACGTGACACAGTATATGTGTAATAGAAGCTGATGCTGAGTAAGTTGATTTTGATGAACACCCTTGATTGAAGAACTGGCTACACATAAATTATAACATGCCTACTCTTGAATTGGAGGTTAATACATCTGAGTGTTATATGATGAGAAGCTGACTTTCTTGAGAACACTGCTTCGGAATCTTTTTGTGTTCTCATACAAAATGCGTCAGTGATGCATAGAAAATGCATAGTGATACAGAGCTCCATCTTGCACAGTCAATTGTAACCACTAAGCCCCCTGACTCAATGTGTTTGCTATCGACGACTCATAGAACGCCAACTCGACGACTCCTTGACAGGGATCTATGATAATAGAAGTATAGCAAGGTCAATATCAAAAACGAGCTCATAAGTTCCTTTGAAAATTGACATGAATAAGAATAAAGTTCTATATCCAATCATATTACTCTCTAATGAAGCAATTTAGTATGAGACTGTTGCCGATTATTGCCATACATGACTGTTGCCGATTATATAAATGAAATGTGGCGCATTGTTTCAATAAACGGCTTCAGACTGCCTTATTGATGGCAATTTGATGCTCTGTACTTGTTGAAGCATTGAATATCTATCTTTAGGAGCAGCAGTTCTCAATAAAAAACTAGAATTTCGTGAGAGGTGCTGCTTCATCATTGCTAGCAAACTTCAGGACGTCCAAGTTTTATGGACGATAATTACTACAGGAATTTGGTGCTCTACATACTGTCTCCATGAAGAGGACCGAGGACCGTTCGTGCTTCGTATGTCGAGTTTCAGGTACTGGATATTGCAAATCCTCTCTTTTCCATTCCAGTGATCAGAAACTTGGCAATGATTCACAACCTGGTCGTCTAGACACTCCTCGGGCTTTAACAGAAGTTGGAGTTGGACCCTACAGATTTCACCCCAAATCTGTGGACTTCTAAAACGCCCTCCTGATCTAAAAGGAACAAAAATCTTCACAATGACTCAGTTTCAAATTCAAAGGGCGGCGCAATGATCCTTTGTGATGCCCGCAGGATCGGATTAAACAAACATCAATATCTTACAAATAGTCAGTCTACGAGAGATGCACATAGATCCGCTAGACCAGTAGTCTCATTGCACGTGAATTGTCAGCCCATTACAATGCATGAAACGCTAGTTTTGAATTGTTGTCTACAGAGAAAATTTTACGCTCTTCTCTATGCACAAAGGTAAAACCCAGAGCTTCTACGAGATTGATCACTATCGGCACATGTGGGATTAGTGTAGGTTGAAAGCAATCAGAGATACAAAACTGAAGAAACATGACAATTATGCAGTACTATCGTCTAATCGTGGAGACAATGAGAACAGAAGAGGGAATGAGAGGGATTAGCAAGCCTAGGATGCCAGCGCGCCGCTGTTGTGGTTGCTGAAGGTAGGAGGAGAAGGGAGGAGTGTGCGAGAGGGAAATGAGTTGTTCGATGTAGTATGGAGAACACGGAGGACGAGGAGAGTGCAGTTTCCGTTGCATATAGGCTGGTTGTAAGGGTGGGCAAACAATTATACAGTATTAAGATCGTTAAGTTCTCTACAATCATCTTGATGCAACAGTGATGTGAGAAAGATGGTCAATACTATGAGATCGAAATCACGTGCGGTGTTCTCGAATATTCTCACTAGGTACGCTTGTGCCACCTCTGCTGGCCTGTAAGAAATAACTGCTCCGAGGCACGAATCTGCAGTTTATGTCAAATTTTCCCTTAAATTTTAGTTGTTATATGGAGACATCTGAGGCTTTTGCCCATGAATGTTTCCGCCGAGTTCTCTTATCTTGAACTGGTCACTGTGGTGGATGGAAGTACATTTACAGAAACTTATTCGGGTGACTTACTTCCTACTTCATGACTCTTTAGTATGCAAGCACTTTATGCTCCGCAGGCACTTATTGTTCCATGATAGAAAATTATCAAGATTGTATAATGTAATCAACGAATCAGAAATTTTAACTTTCTGTAGAGAGAAGTAAATGAATTTGAGAATTTAACTTAGTATTTATCTTATTAGTACTTTAATAGATTTCATAATGGCATGTTAAATTAAGTTAAGTTTTTTACTTTTCTTTGTTACAGATCAATTGGATAACATTTTCATCATAATTCTAAGTTGTTAATAAAAATGAAAATTTTAATCATCAGAATTACGTAGTTTATTTTTAATCTAGATGATCGCCTACCATGTGAAATACTATTGCGATCAAGAACCCAAAAAAATGCATGATAATAGTCAATCATACTAGATCAATATGTAAATATTGGAATAATCAGTTAATAATCAGTTTACATTCAAACTTAGCATAATTGAATAAAGATACACTGACTTTTTTTTTAAAGTTAAAAACATTAAAAGAGTCAGAATTCATAAATGGACTCATTTAGAAATACTCAGATAATAAAATTTAAGTTTAAAAATATCACATCTAGAAACTTTTATCATTAATTGTTTTTTTCATGTTTTCAAATTAACATGAATTGGAAAGTTTTAGAATAATAAGAATGATATACAAAATCTACATGCAATCTTTCATTCTAAAACAACTTCATCATAAAGTTTCAATTTGAAAAAATTTATATTCTCATTGTAAAATTAAAAAAAAAAATTCATCACAACCACATATATACATTAAAAAGTATCATATTTGACTCAGATTAAGATGATAACAATTCATTATCAAAATTAGAACTATTATACATTTCAACATCAAGTCAATCATCATTGAGTTATTTGATGAAAAAAAAACAATCATCTATCATGTTTATCACATAATCATGTACCATATATCTTCGGTTCTTCACAATTTTTGAAACAATATAAAAATGATATAATATAAAAATTGTAATATTATATGATTATAATAGTAAAATATTTATATTCCATTTACATCTTAAATTTTTTTCATACATTAATCAATTCATGATTACTTAATATATTATGTATGCATTGTTTTGATACAAGTTAATTATAATAAAAATTAATCACAATATTATTAAATTAAAATTAAAATTGTATTTATATTTATATTTTGATAAATTTCTATCATATAAAAAAACATACAATCTCATGAGTATCGTATGTTAAATTGGATAATCATACTATATATTTGTCATCATTTATTTTATGTCAATTTACTACTTTTGTGGAAATCAAAATAATACCAATTTATTTGCATCAAAAGATGTTTACGTTTAATGTGGCTGAATAAATTTTATTTATTATTTAAAATTTTATATTCATATTTTAATTTCTAGCATATTTTTATACAGTTAGCTCATGTTAATTCTACTTTTTTCAACAATGATTAAGCTTACTATGATAGCAACTGAGATTCAAAAATTTTGCAATAGATCTATATGAAAAAAATAAGGATTTTGAGTAAAATCAATTTATTTTGTTTTTTCTATTATTGAAGAGAATCACATAATTTGTGTTGGCTTTGTTAAATTGTTGCATCTAACTAAACTATATAAACATTCGAATGATATCTAATGTTTCGAATAGGATATTTCAAATAATTTGTAATACAAATTATTTCAAATTATTGTAAAGAAATTATGCAATTCAGTTTACATTTATATTTCAAAAATGTATCTTTGTCACACTTAAATACTTCAATACCTTTCTAGCTCTTAGAACATAATCAATGATATCTTCCTAAATTATATAAACTACTATTCATATTTTATATATATAATTTACATTACTAATCATTTTTATATAAAAAAATATTTTTTATCTAGTCAGAAAGAGAAATCAAGTTAAACTGAAAGAAATTAATTAATTTAATATGTTATTGAATCTTCTACAAATTCTATAATATTTATTTATTTATTTAGAAACTGTTCAACCTATAGGATTTATTTTAGATTTCATCTTTGTATAGCACAAAACTACTTTGTTAATCACTTAACCTAATGTTACCTCTTTTTTCTCCAATATCCAAAAAAAATATTATTTCATGAATATGTTAATTATTTTTTATTTCAATCTAACAAATCACGGTCATGTTTGTTTTTTTGACATTTTTATTCATCTTGTTGATCACATTCCGATTTCGTAGAACTATTTTCCACGATTTGAGAGTTTATTCTCAGTATTAAAATTTTGATTTCTCGAACATCGTAACTTAAACCTATTACTCCAGTCATTTGATTTCGCACATAGAAAACTCCATTAGATAATAACTCATTGAAATGTTAGAAGAATTTTATATCTCACAAATACACTTTTGTTCTTACAATAAGTACTTTGCTTTGCAACCACTTTTTCCACTTTGTATTTGGCTAGAGAGCATGACGTCGCTCTCTTGTGTGACATACTTCTATATCAACCAGACAGTCTTATCGTGTAGCTACGCGCTTCGCTTTGATAAGTGATTGACGAATCACATATCAAACCGAAGCGTTGGCTGCACACAGAAATCTGATTTGCACAGGGAAGTGAAGCGTTCGTGACGACTTCGTGTCTGAGTATGTAAGAGTTCTTCAATCTTTTCCTCCAGTCAGCACTTTTACAAACCCAATCTCGTCCCACATGACTTCGTTCAATACTTGGAAGGATTCGCTCTCATTTCGAAAGCCCAAGACGTTGACATGGTTCATCTTGACGAAAAGTACATGAACGCGCATTGTCTTACGTGCTAACAAAGTGCACCACGTATTCATACATAACAACCTTTCCGCAAGGACGTAAGTTCTTGTTTGAGGCTGTGAACCTTCGCAGTGAGAGATACGATGCGGTTATTCAGTATTCCACTCAGGAAAGTGCCTCGAGAGGAATTACACGATAAAACTGGTACTTTGTACTGAAAAATGTACTGGTCAGTACGTTGAGACAAACGACAAGATCATCGCTCGATCGGATGAACTTAAGTCAGCCACGTCTCACCTTTTGTACACTTTAGCAGACACTTGGGCAAATGACGACCTGCAAAGAGAGACTGAGACCGCATCCAGGAGCTGATGATAAAATGATAGTTCCAAATGCCAGGTAAACAACTTCATTCCAGGAAAATCACTGGTACACAAGAAACAGTGAGAAAGAAATTCTTACTTTCGATAGACTGGTAAAATACATCGTTCTTAAACACATTCCTACAGTGATTCTCAACTACAAAACATCCGACTCTTAATCCTAAAATGAACAGCTCCACAAATCAGGGCTTCGAACACTCTGAATATCGTCCGATGTACAGAATTCGAATGCGGAAACAGCAACTAAGATTTAGCGAATCAGCTATCCCCGAGAAGCAAGAGTGTGTTGAAGACGAGACACCATTGATTCCTCGTCTAAATGAGAATTTCAGACACAGAGTTGGCGCTTAAATTTGGTTTGACCAAAACTCACCGAGTGCGAGGGGAGTGATATGAATATGGGTAGATCTTGTGCCCATCCATCCATACTAAAAAATGCACTCTGCAGTGGCAATGAACAACTGGCAGATATAATGGGCACAGGCATACTTTACAACAAGCCTACGTGCTAGCAAGGAGGGAAGCCAGAGGTGGAGCAGACTCCGTTACCTCGCGTGCGCATGAGACGAAGGTCCCCAACCAGTTTTGCTTCAAAATTGAGAATGAAACAAAAACAGCTTCTATAAGGCCTACTTCAAGAAGCGCTCGCGTATCAGGCGCCCAACTATCAGATTTAAATGCGAAATAATCATACAAAATTGGCACAAAGTTGAAGCTAAGTCCTCTACCTCTCACCTGCAACTTGTATACAGAAGATCTTTGTCTTTACATCATCTGAAACCTCAGATATCATTTCCATGATCAGCAAAGATGCTTCAAGGGAGGTTCTAACAGATATCTATAGATACACATTGCGCAATGGTGCCTACCGGCACCATTTGAATTTCATAATCATTTAGTCAGAGCGCCTCCTTTTTGATCGTTTGCTTCTCTTTCCACCTACCTCGACAGCATCCTTTCCAGCAGAAACGTCTATAACACCCTCCTCTTGGTCTTCGTCGTCACTAGAATCGTCCGCAGCTGCCGAACCGTTGGTTTCTACAGACTGAGCTTTCGTGACGGTGGACTCCCCCTTCTTTCCTTTCCTCCTGGCTTCCTGCATCTTCAGCTCCCTAAATTTCTCGCCACGCCTGTCCTCCTTCGCGGTGGTGGTGGCAGCAGACGATTCTGGTAAGCTCGTTGCTGCAGGAGGGGCTGCGGGAGTTGAACGCTTGGCCTGGCCAGCGCTGATAATGGTGGCATTGGTATCGAGTGCATTGGTCTTGGGTTTCCTCAACCACACCTGCTGGGCAGTACTAAGAATGTTGTTCGTCAACCAGTATAAACTCAATCCTGAGGGTACAGACAATGAAAAATAACCAATCATGAGTGGGAGGAACTTCAGAATGAGTTGCGTATTTTTCTGACTGGGGTCAGTGGACTGAGGGGGCTGCATAATCTGCATGGAGACGAATTGAGAAATTACAAGCAGGACCGGCAGCACCAAATACGCGGCGGTGTCGCCCCATCCCAGAGGTGGGGCGCCGTTCTCGAATGGGAAAAGCCATGAAATCCCGCTGCCAGCTGCTCTCGCCACTATGGTAGTAGGTCCTGCTAGAGACGGAATCCAGAAGAAACCCTCGGTAAGAAGACCCTCGTTGGCCACATTCGAAAGAGCCCTGTAAAGCCCAATCCAAACTGGCAGGGTAGCAAGAGTGGGCAAACATCCTGCCAGAGGGTTCACGCCAGCCTGCTTGTAGAGCCGAGCGGTCTCGAGTTGGATGCGCTCCTGATCACCTTGGTATCGAGTCTGGATTGCCTTCAGCTTGGGCTGTAAATTTTGCATGTTAATGGTGGATTCAACCTGGGCCTTGGTAAGAGGCAGAGTCGCTGCTTTGACCAGGATGGTGAGAAGAATAATCGCGAATCCATACGAGTAAGGGACATGAACACTCTCCAGGCCATTCTTTAAAATTTTAAGAAAAAACTCGAGGGAATCCGTGACTCCTCCTAACCATCCACCGCTTTGCCTGCCGACGACTTCCGTGGTCGAGGCCGCGTCTGAATTAACCGCCGCGTCTGCGAGCATAAAAAAAGCGCCCTCGGCTTTGGTAAGCATGGCTTGCGCGACCTCGGACGACTGCGTCAGAACTGCCAGGTGCGCGTGAATGTCGTCCGCCCCGGGAATGTGCCCTAAGTGCGCCCTGGCGGAGAAATTCGCCCGGCGCAAAGGACTCCATGGCTGCCCGTAAATTTGAGGCCCTGCTTTCAGAATCAAAGCTCTGCGCCTAAAAGCCCTGCTGCTCTTCAAACCGTCGAGACGAGAGGCAACCGCCCCTGCATCTCGGCCCCCCACACTTCCACACACGAGCAAATCCAGTCGGCACTGCAATGCCACCGACGACGCAGACATGTCTGCTTATTGCTGCGGCCAGGAACTGCAATTCTCCGCGCCCCGCTGCTCGCACCGCCAAAACCCCCGGCACAATCCCCCGCCCTCTCCGTGCCGAGTCCCGGGTGTGGCTACCTCACACTCTCACTCAATCAATCCCTCCCTCCGTCAGTCAATCAATCAATCCCGAATGGCCTGCTAAAAACTCGGGGTCCGCCTCCTGTGCTCGTCCAGAGAGCAGGGCGGAGCAGAGAAGTGACGACACGAGGAGAGGAGAGGAGAGAAGAGAAGAGAAGAGAAGAGAAGAGACGAGAGGAGAGAAAGGGAGATGGCGGACGAGGAGATGGGTTCTTGCTTGAGTGAGAATCACGTCGTTCTTGGGTAACCAGAACTAATTCTGAAGGCGGTGTCGTCTAGTCGCTCGCTCGTTGGCTGATAGGTCGCACAGAGGGAGGGACCAGAAGCTCCCAGCGATGGACGATCCTCCGGTTGACACCCTCGGAGCGGCCCTCATCAAGATATAGATATGATCCATCCATCCGGCCTGCCCTCGGTGGGCATAGCCCCGCTACCGGTCCATCGACGGGGGGAGGCATCGCCAGCGAATCTCCCGATCCGCCTGCGGCCCTTTCTGTGGCTCGGCTCCGTTTGCTCGTCGTTCCCTCGCACACCCCGCCAAGCCCCAGGCTCTCTCTCTCCCTCCCTCCCTCCCTCCCTCCCCCTCTCTCTCTCTCTCTCTCTGTTGCGAGCGGCCTTGTATTTTCTTTCTCAGTGTGCATATTCTTAATGGGCAGGAGAATTTCGTCGCGATTCTCGAACTAAATGTGAATGAATAATCGCTTTCAAAACGTTCCTTTTCTCGTGATGAACTCTGAAGCATTCCAACTTTGCTGCTTTCTCTCGATTATTTCCTCCGAATGGAATTTATTTACTCTAATGGAAAAAGTTAAGTGTGTGCGCGCATTGCTGGTTTGAAGGTTACTTTATTTCTTTACTTTACCACATAATGATCCACGCAACGTTTCTTATTGCTGTTATGAAAATGTCATGTGTTATCTGATTGGAGTTACTATCACTCCGATTGATATGTTCAATACCTCGAGAGTAACTGGTACAAGAGAATTCACAATACTCCGCATTGGCTAAACTCATGAAATATTAAGACTTGTATCGTGGGATTTTATGTAATCGCAGAATAACCCGAAAGTATACGAAAAGAGATCTTGTCTGTAAAATCACTACATCCGCCGAAAGTCAGAAAGACGTTTGCAATAAATTGTCAGTTTTCAACGAATACCTACATTACTTGAACGTTCATTACTTTGCAAGCTTTGAATTTATCTATATTGGTATGTTATCAAATATTCATTCATATTCAAAACTCACAGTACTGTTCCTTTGAGACTCATGTACAGTACATCAACGCTTTTGAATTTTGATCTTTTAGTAAACCAGTCACATTATGTTGCTCAACACAAACAGTTTCTTTTATGTACAAAAAGTATTTGATACTCATTATCCATGACCATCTACCTATTTATTCAAAATTTCCAGATCAATGATCAAATATCAAGTTGAATAGACTGTTGATAATATACGAGGACGCTTATTCTGGAGTTAATATTCATTGGTTCAACATAAAGGCATGAATGAGTATTGAGGTTTTCAACCAGATGAGACGATTATTATGGGCTGGCAAGGACAATCCCTTGCTCGTTTATCTAGACTTGATTTTTTTCCTTTGGATGAATGGTCAACCTTTGATGTATGTGATAAGAATTAACTTATCAAAAATGTACTTATGCATGACAGAAATGTCATGCATAAATGTCGAAAAGTTATTCATTTCACAGAAAGGGTGTGGCCAAACAAGATACTAAATTTATTCCTCTCATGCCCTCACAATTTTTAGTACATGTACTGAAATGATACATGCTCCAAGAAATACTGACATCTAATTATGACATACATGGGATGGCATGTTAAGTAAGAATGTTTTAACCAACCAATTCATATCTCTTCTTCAGGGTGAACTTTTCAAAATATGACTGTTCCAATACAGTCACAACTTGACTGTATTAGAACATGGATATTTTGCTATGACATCATGGACCAAGGGTTCTCAAATGTTTGTAAGGAAGTTTGGCAAGAGGTTTGCTTCTGATCAAATCCATATAGAGTGATGGTTCTATAATTAATGAAGGAAAAATCATCGATAGTAGAATATTTGGCAAGTTAGACAAACTCCAGACTTAATAATGTTTTAGATTTATGATCATAGATAAACCTCTAGCTGAAATGTATGTTGTGAATGTGGACATATCTATTATGTATCTACTATGTCTTTTACGTGTATTCTCGCGCCAAGTGAAAAACACTTTACTCCTATCCCAGGTAAAATATGAACTCTCATCATTAAGACAAGACTCTATCTTGATAGACATAGTTTTAAAAAGATTTGCATTTACTCTAAGAGGAATTTTCAATTCCTTTGAATGAGAGGTCTAGCTTGCACTTTGACTCCGACAAAGTTGTAAGTATCGTGGATCTTGCTTCATCATGCATCCAAATATTTTGACACTAACCAATTACTCTCTTCACGACGACTTTCACATGCTTACCTTGGCTTTGCTTATTCAAGCTTTCATTGTTCACGTGTGAATATGCTAATACTCTAGATGTGACAATTGTTTAGATGACTCGATGACTTGGCAGTATGCAATTGATAAATGCATATTAACTCTCTGAGTATGACGTTTGGAATGACGAGCGAGGGTGAAAATTTTACATGAAAAGAGAGTTGATGTATATTGCAGTCGATTGACTTGAAGACATACCTGCAACTGGTTTGAGTGTGTAAAGGTAGGATTGTATTGGTGTTGGTTTAAACATGGTGTATATAATAGAGTTTTAGAATGGATGAGTATCTAAACTCTTGAATGTATAAAAGTAGCGAAAGTCTGCCGGAACTGGGGTACGAAGAAAGAGAAAAAAAATTAGACCCTGGTTTTGGAACAGACTCGGACAGAAACGACGGTCCAAGTCCCTCGTTTCTGTTCGGTGGCCTCCTTTTCGGGTGTTCCCCTCTGCATTCTTTTAATCCAAGGCCCATGTAGCCTTTGATATGAAGAGTTTGGTGGTACTGGAACCGAGCATTGAGGAAGGTTTAACTTCACTTCCCTGATTCGCATGAGGATGGAATCATTCCAATTCCACCTGGACTATGTTAAATCTGGGGATTTTCAGCCATACAACGACAAGCAAGCATATATGTGCGGCTGCTTCTTGGCTAGATTTTACCTCATAATACCTCCTATGTAAGTGATCCACTAGCTACTCCATAAATAATCACACATTCTCCACATCCTTTTTGTGACCTGGTATGGGGAGGTAAAGGGATAACAAGTTAAGAGATGTACACAAGCTTCGAAGCATAGCCTGTATGCGTTCAAATACATACGTCAATCCAAGATCAGGATTGGACACTTCAATGACCCTTTCCGGGCTCTCCAATTGTTTATTCTTCAGCTGAGACCAGTCAGGAGAACATATAGTCGTGAAAGTTGTGGTTGATACATGTGTAACTACTGAAATGCCGAAGGTGAAGTCCGAATAGGGACCCCTGACAGCACGTAACTTTGTATGAAAAGCAAACATTGAAACTTTGGCAAGAAACAAAGGCACGATCATGTAAGACAACAGCAATGCCGTAATGCCATGAAATGTATTTCAAAAGAATCTTTACAAAAAGAGAATTATTAGATTCTCACGAAACCTCCTATTAGATTCTCACGAAGCCTCCTATCTAACACGCCAAGAGCAATCAGCGAATACACAGGCAGACAGCTGGGTATTTTCGAGGCTATCTAAAACACGTTTGCTTGTCAACGCTAAGTTCAAGAGAATGCCATAAGGAGAATAGAAGAATATACATTTGTCAAGTGGACAAAGATCTCTCCCAACCAACTGAATAGTCGATCGAGATCTGAATGTTTACATGTCACTTGCTTGGGCTACAAAATAAATACCCATTTCGTCCAAGTCGACTTATGACTCCATCCAAACCACATCCAGAAGACCCAGCCTCGTGCCTCGATGAAGCTAATCCCTACATGCCTCTAGTTGTTCCATGTCTCCCCTATGAGAGGGTATTGGGTCAATGAATTGATACTCCACACACACCATCATGAACGTGCAACATCTACCAGTAATGTATCTCGGCAGGCAGTCTCTGGTTCCACATTTAGCTGCTGCCAACATTACAGAAGCCTCAGGCTCCAAATTAATGGTCAAATGCATTAGACAAGGCACTCGCGTCCATATAGTTCGGCAACTCTCGCTAATTGAGCAAAAAGTTTTCAATGTTCATCAACATGATGTAACACCGGTAAGGATTATAACAGTATCATAAGCACAAGGAACTCTCAAAACGTTCAGAGGCCTAACTGGACCCCAACAGTTGCATCTGCTCTGTTGTTCGGTGACCTCTGAGCCTCAGTGTGCGCCCTCGACTAAGGAGCACACACCTCATCAACCCCGTAGAGAATATTTTTTGCCTGTAAAAGCTTGAAATTTAGATGCCTCCTCCTTCGGTGCCTCTGGTTTGGGTTCTTCCTTCTTTGGAGGAGGCGCCTGTAAAACAACATACAACAAAGCTAGGGTAAATATCGAAACTTTACAACAAGCCAAAGCAAAGGACACACTAGAACATAACAGGAAACTTTCAAGATTTGAGTGACCAGCATTAAATAACAAAGTAGGTAACAGGTGATCAACCACAAAGATCTCAAGTCTATGTCGTTGATCACCTGTTATCTGGCTTCCGCAAGGGAACCAGAAGTTAGATACTCGGGAGGTACAACCTCAGGTGTTTTTGATACATGATAATTGAAAAGCAATGAAGAACAAAAGCATGGCATAGGGTCCTGCTGAAAGAATCAAAATTTTCTATAGAGAGCCAAAGGCAGAAAACTGCATGCGAGATAGAGAAAAGCCAAGCAGGCAGGCAAAATCCATCGGCTTAAATGCAAGAGACAGTTGTGGAACATGGTTCATACCAAACGCTTCATGTTCTGTGTCCACTTGCACTTAGATGTACCAAAATGCAAAAAAAATTACCAGGGATCATCCATAAGATATATTACATAACGCCATCGCACATATTTGTTATATAATCACTTCACATAAAATACCAAGTTCATTCTAACAGACTGAACACGAAGTATTCGAATAAAGACAGTAGTAACTAACCTTAGCCGTTCCATTGCTTCCACTAGCTCCAAATACAAGTTTGCCCGCTGCCCTTTGAGGTCCAGCAGGGGCTGCAGGAGCACCCGATCCACTTGCACCAGACCCAACTGGTTTTTTAGCAGAAGCAGAAGATGTAGAACCTGATGCTCCCACTGCACTAATAGGGCCAGCTGAGAGCTTTGCTGGTTTCCCATCAAGGCGTCTCCCTGTGCCTGTAAACGCGTTAAACTTTGGCTCCTCTGGTTCTGGTGTCTCTTGAGCGGCTGCATTACAGATGGACAAAAGTAAGGGCCTCGTTATGCTTCTGTCGCGAAGAAGAAATGAACAGAGCAAACTCTTCAGAATCAATGCAGATCACACACCTTCAGATGTGGAGACTGGGGGAGCCGGAGCAGGTCGCACTGGTTCGGGCTCCTTATAGTCAAGAGGAGGTGCAAAGTCCACTTCACAATCGGTTTCGATAATAGAAATTGCTTGGGAGGGTTTTGCTTCAATGATGTCAATGTAGTACTTTCTATTGTTGTATGCAACCATTATGTTGTCACCAACGGTCAGACAAGAAAAGTTCCGCAAAGTAGTTTCCAAGCTGTACAATTTTCAACACCAGAACAAAATATCAGATTAGCCAAGCACAAAGCAGAGAGTACTTGAAAAGAAGACAGGAAACTGCTAATTTCATTCTAGCATTTGGTAATGCTGTAGATCTAGGTCAAGTCAATGTATAGCAAGACAACTCAGTCGCGACCATGTGATCCTGCGCGGAGCTCTTGTGACATGATAATGGTCAAACTTTGATAACAGAAACACAACATTCTATATTCCACCTCCTCGTGTGGTTAAAACACAAACCATCAGTTCTCATAATGAGACCTGCTTCATACAAAAAACGGGATGACAACCTACACAGCCTTTGGGTTCGAAATGTCGAGAAAATCTTTGGTATGCGGTTGCAGCTTCACGTAAGTGCCCTTCGGGAGGGTGGCACTCTTTACTCTAACTATATCTCCTTCCTGTAGCAACATGTTCTGCATCATCTATAGAAAGCAAGTTTATGGACAGATTAGTGAACGATTATTTGGATAAGAGAATCGTGCAGGCATGCATCGAACAATATATTACACGCAATTCTTCGCTGCTTTCAGACCACCTGGTCATGACTGACTATTGAATCCCATTGATGAGGGATTTTCAAGAAGATAGTTAAACGAAAATTGGAGCTCGACCTACCCAATAAGGCATGTATATCATGCCTTCCTCAGCGACAAATTCCAAGACTCCACAATGAGAAATGCGCGATGCTGCAGGATTGTGAACCTCAAAGAGCATAGGATAATCAATACGCAGGGACGCTGCAGCACAAGATGTGATAACAATTCGTTAATCAGGTCAGAGGTATGTAGCCATGTCTCATTGTAAAGCTTAAGTTCGATGTACATTCATTCTATCACGCTTTTCCATTCGTTTGTTTATCACAGTTCCAAGCCATCTTAAACTATGTAACTATGTTGACCAACAAAGAATGGAAACCGTCGTGTTCTTCCGTGGCACTGGCAATAAGTTATGTCTCGCTGATTCCATCATGCTCAAAGGCCAGTCTATGCGTCGTCTACAAGGTCCGGCGACCGAAGGCGAGGATCACAAGAGAAATCATCAGATGCCTGAAAGTAAATATTAATTAACTTTTGGCGCTTTAGATAATTCTTTTGACAAACACAAAATGCTGATCGGCTATTCAAATCCCTTTAATTCAGAGTCCATATACTATGAGAAGCGCTTCACAGCGGTCATAAGTATGAGACGAATATTCGGATATAATATGCTCCAAGACATTGTGTACAACGACATACTAATTCCACACTCTCACCAAAGCCAAATCTCAATTTGCTTCATCGGATGGATTCAAAGTACTACTCACCAAGTCTATCCAGAGCGGACGGAGGCATTATGACTGCAACACAGCCCCACGCATGAAGAGCAGTCAGTATAACTGAAAGCAGGGTCATTTCCTTCAAATTTTAAGTACGCCAATTACCAAGAAGCCAAGCAAAGCGCGATGCTCACCTTTGTCTCCACTTTCGAGATGCGGCTGCGTAGCACGATAACAACCAATGGAAGACACAAGCAGACACAAGAAAGCGTCAGCTTCAACGATCAAACAAAGAACAAAAAAGACAAAACAAAGATCGTCCACAATGTCCCATCCACCTCCAAACCCACGTGGTAATGGTTTCTACCCACAACATTGCAGCTCAGTGTACCTTTTTGATTTGGGTAACCGATTACAAGGATATGAAGCCCTTGATCCTAGTAAGGACTTCAACTCACGACAGGTTCATACCTTGTCAATAAATGATGCCGAGTAGCAGCGATAATTCTGCTCAAAGGGAGCTGTGGGATAGGCCATCCCATATCCTCCATAAAATTCCATTTCAGAAGCCCTTTCTTCGACTCCGGGGTGGACACACGCAGAATTAGAGATTGGCCAATCCCCAATTCCCACAAAATTCAGAGTCAAAAAATTTGCCTCACTCGGCTTTACTTCCCAAAAACCCTAAATCCAATTTGTCACGGACAGCAGCCCGTCGATTCACCGGGTTTCGAAAGAAACTTGAAGAAAGCTGAGCGAAATTCGGAAGTGCAAAAACTCTTCTCCAGCAGCTCAATATCCTCCCCGAGTCCTCAGAACGCATTCCAAACTCGAAAAATTCTGAATTCTCCAGCGCCCGCTACCGCTGCAGCATACAAAGGTACTCATGTCGATTTTGTGCGCCCACCCTTCCTTGACAAACGAACGCTACCGCGCAATCACTCGCTCTTCGACCCTCCCCGTCTCAACAGCACCGCATTCGGATTGACCTCCACAAATTCATGAACTGACAAAGCGATCGAAGAACCAGCCGATCCTCACCGCTGTCCTGTATAATAGATGATGCGCCCACGGATTCTCGCACCCACTGGAGACGAAGAAGTCACGGCTCCATCCCCGACTCCACGGAAGACGCAGGAGGTTAGGGAAAAAAGATAGTGGGCAAGAGGGACTGCTGCTTGGCTGCTGCTTGCTCAATGCTCCAGGAACGATCAATAATAAGAAGAACACCAAAGCGACAGAAGAGAAGAGAAGGGAAGGGAAGGCAAGAGAAGAGAAGAGAAGGGAAGTGGCCTCAAGGAGCGAGCGAGCGACCGGAGAGCGTCCTTTGTCCGTTGCACATTTCCCGATGCGACTTCTGACCGGCGGTTCCCAGGCGCAACCGCAAGGTTTGCACTCATCATTTTCCCCTCCTTACCTGGTTCTAACAAGGCCCGTCCGGACCCCGTCTTAGGCTCTTAGATACTCTTGATCTTTGACTTGTCTTCTCCAACCTCGTTGTGCTACTGTGCAGCTACTGTGCAGTAGTAGCTCGGTACTGTGACTTCGGTCACCCGCCGGTCTTTGGGATCATCCGGATCGAGGATTGATCCTGAGGTTAGTGCTTTCCGGGGCTCGTTGAGATCGACAACTACCACACTACGTGGAGATAGAGGCGTTTGCTTGTGGTGGATGTATGGTGAAGATGTGGAACGTGGTAAAAGGTGGGCGCGGAGTAAATGCAACAGAAGAACTGCGGCGCAAGTAATAGCCCTTGAGGTAGCTTCTAGAGTTCTTTAAGAGATATTTCAATGGCTTCCATGGGTTCTTCAAACTGTACACTCATGTTGTCATATGTGTCCTAAAATAAACCTTCTTATAAGAAAAAAAAAACTCCTAGTTCCACACAACTTGCTCACTCTCTGCACATCTTTGCTTGATCACGAGAATCCGAATTACATTCAGCGAGAACGTTTGAACTTTCCGAACCGTGGTTCAATATGATACGTATAGAGATAGGAGAGAATCCGATGGTATTTTTAGCATGATTTATTACATGCCAAGAAAAGCAGCAGATGCATTACAGCTAGCTTTGTCACAAGAGGACTGGGGGAGGAATCCAACAACACTTTTCTTTTAATGAAACACTGTCACTTGTCTGAACGTCGCTATCAAGGAATGTATACGGAGAGATAGAACTATCCTGCAAGTAAACAGCAAACTATCTTGGAGCACGCAAACTATCAGCTTGTGATAGTGGTAATAAGACGATTGGGTAGACTTTTTGGACACTTTCATACATCGTTTATGTACATATTTTCAATTTTGAATGGATATACACATCACGGGGGCGGAGTCTTTAAATTGATAGTCATCGTCAAAGCAATATTTTCTGATGATAATATTGACAAATTGACATCATACTATGCTTGTCTTTGCCTAAAAGGGAAAAGTAATCTTTGGGATAAAAAAAAATTCTCACTGAATTTTGAAAATTCTCACAACCCTGTTCATTGATCAAATAGCTCTAACCTTTTGCTGCTTAATGATACTAACAATAATTCTTCGGAGTCTTCATTGTTTGAACTTCCATCACACGTGATACCACCTTGTAGACCGATATAAAGGCTTCGAGGATTCATGTTTAATTTATTCAAAAACCATACTGACAAGACATTCACATCAACATCTCTATCCACCGGATCATGTAAGCCATCATATAAATTAATATGTACTTCAATTTTTCAAAAATCAGCATATATATATATATATATATATATATATCTTGGTCAAGATCATTCATCACTATTGCTATACTTCATTCTTAGGTTTATTTAATTTTTGTCTTTTTAATAATCCTCCATTGTAGATTTCAAGGCAGATATCTTTTCAGTAGTTCAACTAAATATTTTAAGTATATATTTTTCCATATTATGTTTCATTTGGATACAAAATATAAAGTTATTTCATTCTTTAAATTAACTCATATTACTATTAGATCAAATAATATGTTTGGTTTAAACATTTTTTAAATAAGTTTTGCTGCAACTCATGATCTCTTCTTCTAGTTTGCCTAAATATATAAAAAAAGAAACTATTTCTTTTATTAAACATGCAGAGGCTAAAATTTTACTATGGGTTATTTCATTGATTGACACGTAGCATGAGAAGTTTTGTTTGGTTTTGTACATTTATCATGATTGTTAAAATCTGGCATTTTCCCTGAAAGAAAAATATAGAAATCTGAAAAAAATCTAATTTTCTTTCTTCAATTGAAAATCTGGATACTAAATTTTGATTTTTAAAATTCCTATCCTACATTTAGGTTTAATTTTTTTGCTTAGAAAATTCAATAAATACATGAAAATGAGAAATGAATAGTCACTTACACCCTAACCTTGATAATATCACACCCTCCGTTTCACCAAAAAGTGTGACATAAACAAGGTGTGACATTTTTGATAATGTCACATTTTGTGCATAATGTGATATTATAAAAAAATAGGTAAAAACTCAAAATAAAATTATAATATAAAAAAGAAAATAACAAATGAAAATATTCAAACAACCACAGATGGTGAGTGCGCAAGGCTGTTATCCGGATTGTCTACATATCTAATTAGACCAAGAAATGGACATGTAAATCCTAAGTATTTCTGGTCAGCCGTTGCTTGTCAATTTTTATGCACTATTGTCATTGAAATAGTTTAATGGTCAAATCTATCTAAGGCAACAGCCTTGGAGGATTACAAAAAATCGTACATTGACAAACGTCTCAAGAATGTCATAACTGCACAGCGAGAATCGACAACCCGAAGCTTACAAGCAAAAAAGGAAGAAATGCCATTAGGCTGAACATTTAAATCTTCCAAACCGGAGCCACCACAAGATACTATAATGCCTTTTGCTCTCTCAAAACGTCCTAGCTTTGGCAGCCCAGACGTTCCCCAATTGAAACTTTCTGCTCTCGAGTAAGCCAGCTGGAATTCTCTCCTCATAATGTAAAACTGCAGTTTATGAGAAGTGCGTTGAAAATCGTAGAACACTTGTAGAGTCTAGTCAATAGCATAAGTAGTCAACAACTTTGGTCACTTCAGAACGTGGGCATCCGAGCCACGAAAGCTCTACAGCAGGAACGATACTAATGACTGCAAGTCCAACTACACAATGACCATCAGAACATAAAAGATTTACGTACTTAAATTGCTTTTCTGATTGCAGGCTGCATAGATTAAGCGCTTTCGAGCTCTGCCGTGCGTTGCGCTACCTCATCGCGAATTTATCTTCCTCTCAGCTTGAACCCTCTGTTCACAATAGCCGATTGCGAAATCATCTTCCTTGCATCTTGAACCCCTCGTCCACGTACAAGCAAGTAGCATTTCATTTACTGCATCACTAGGGAGTTTCATGATACTACACGTCCAACTGTCACATATAATCCATTCATATTTGATATTATCACACTTACACTAGAAATTTTGGAAAAAAATAGTGACATTATCAAGGTTGATAGTGATATTAAAGAGGAAGTTTTACACTAGGGAAATTGGTTTCAAATTTTTATGTGACAATATCAAGGTGTTCTATTAACAAGTGTGACATTATCAAGGTTAGGGTGTATAAATGTGATTTTAATCTAAAACAATTTCATAAAAATTTCAAACTACAAAATCTATAGACATTTTTTATGATTATTCATCTTAAACTCATTATATTTATTAATCTCAAATAATTCCAAAATATGATACTTTACAAATGCTCAATAACCTGATTGCTCATAAACTTGATTGTCAAAGTTTCTGATTGATGTATTTGAAAATTTAATTGCTGTCCAATAAAAGCAAAAATAAGTTATTTACATTTTTTGATGAAATTTATTTTTAAAAGATCTTTAATCTTAGAATAAAAAACGTTGATCTCTTTCAAAATATCGTATTTCCTTTATATACAATTTTAAAATTTGATCATTTTATATATTTTTATTGATTCATATTTTCTAAAAATCTTAATTCATCACACCAGAATAAAAAAGTTGAATTTTTTCTTCCTTTCATGATTTCATTATTAGTTGTAAAATGGCAATTAAAATTCTTATATATATATATATATGAAATCTACAAAAAATTTTATTTTATTTTATTTTTCTTCCAAATTCATTTTTTAATATATTGAGTCCAAATATTATATATCAATGTTAGGTAAATAAATAAAAATAATAGTTTCTCAATGTACTAAAAGTTGTCATCAATATGCACAACACTCTCTTAATCACTTGTTTAGGATTTTTCTACAATGATTTCAATGACAAATAATGAAAACTACAAGATATTTTTATTTTCAAAATCAACATATCTTATGAAAATAAATGAATATTTTCATTCATTTTTATATGTAACCTTGAATTCAACTCGTAAGAAAACAAGCTCATGATCAACACTAGTACAATTATTTGAAATTCTGATTTTCCAGTTTTGATTTACAAACTGAAAAGATGTTCATGAAATTATGTGTAAAAGTTAGTAAAGACTATTGCATATTCAACTCATCATGAATTTTTGGATTTATATTTAAATTTTTTTCATAATTTGAAATAAAAAATACATACTTATTCACTCAAAATCATTACACAGCATTGGATTCAACTTGTTTAAACTTTCATGGTAAAAATACATTATAACTTACTCCAATCATTCCAAACAAAATATTAATGAACAGATTTAAAAAAACTACCAATCCAACACTTTTAATCGAATTCACAATACATGAAAATTATAAAACTACAAAGTATGTTCAAATATTTTCGTGGATATTTTTTAAAAATAAGATTTCAAAAAGTTTAATCTAAATGAAAGAAGTATTTTTAAATCACAATCTCTCTTTTGAGATCAAGTTTTACCAAATTTGACCTAATGTCATAACATTGACAACCACCATGTGGAATTTTATAAAATTTTGAAAGTCCACAATGAAGTTGATATTTCATATTTCACTCCAATGTAAAAAATAATTGTTTAAAAAAATTGTCACAAATCTAAAATAACATCTGTGTGTATTATAACCTTCAACTTCATATATATATACATGTATACATTTGAAAATTTCACAGCTTTACATAAATCCAATCTTATCTCCTGAATGAAAAGTTATTTAATATATGATACATAGAGACTATTAAAAAAACCAGTTAGAAGCAAGTGTAGTTTCATTCTTAACATATAAGATAATAATAGTTCAATGATTTAGATAGATAGATATCAATAAAGAGATAATTTATCACACTAAATGTTCAAAGGTTTTTTTGATAAATTATTTTGTATTTTACTTGTTAGTTCTCTTATATGATTTGTTAGATTTTTCACTTACTTTATTGAATTTTAAACTAATAATTTTAAACAAAAGATAATCAAGCTAAAAATAAAAATTTCAATAGAAGAAAAATCAAGATCAAATAAATCTCTAACAGTAATTAAATAACTCTAATAATTTGCTTTATATGCAGATATCGTTAGCTAAGAGATTTATTTCACTGCTTGTCACTGATTCAAAATATATCTGCACAAGGATTGGAGGATGAAGGTTTTTTTTTTTTTCTTCCATTTATGAGCATGCTACTTCACCACATATTAAGATCCCCCGTTGGTATTTTCTGCAATTCTTGCGAAGCTGCCACGGAGTCGCAAATGATCTTTGGGAATTGGTTGTTGGCGTTTAGAAATGAGAAGAATTGGATCACTTTGATCGGATCTGGAAAATTTGCGATGCCCGACGGATGAACCAGTGGAGTTCACGGAGGTGTAATATTTGGAAGGAAGGGGGACGGTCATGGATTCCTTTCTGGCTAGCACAGGGGAAGGTAGTCACCGCAGATCTAGCACACGATAAATCCATATTTCAGATGCAGCAAGAGGGTATCAGAAGTGATTCCAAAACTGATCCACGAAGCTTTCGGTAATTTGTTCGAATGCCAGAATTTGTTGTGGAGTGGGGCAATCTGCATCTGCATCTTTCGACCTTGATTTCGAAGGGACTCGGTTGCAAAGCCAAAGCTGTTCGGGCCAGGACGTGTGCAGTATGTCGTGCCAACCAACGCAGGAGTGTTTGGTATACCAAGAAGTAAGAACTCTGGAACTTGAAAAGATTGTGGGGCACGGTCTCTCACACATCACTTTCCCGATCTGCTGCCGCGAATCTGTTTGGTTCAATTCCTCGAGTTTCCAGTTCAGACATCCATGATCTACATCCACACAATGCACGGTCGATAGTGTCGAAACACAACCGATGTAGACAACACTGTCCGCAAGTCACTGATGCTTTTATACAATCCAAATGCAAAGCCTACTCATTCCGTTTCTCAGGTGCAGCTTCGAGAAGGTATGTTGAGGTGAGGCAAGTCCATCAGGAACGTGAGTCGTCTCGCGAGACTCCATCGGTTTACGCAGCATGATCAGCCTCCTTCCAGAGACGTGGAGAGAATGAGGATTGTGAACAGGGGATGAATGTCTACGGACAGCACATCTGATTCACGTTGCAACAGTTTCTTACTTCAGCCTGGCAGCATCAAGTAGCGCAGGCTACGATGCTTCGCCCAGATTCCTCCTACTTTTGCAGCTAGCAATAAGAATCGCTGTACAAAACGATCGTCGGCACTCCAAATGGTCGATATACTTCACGGAAACAACGATATACAAGGAGAACACCCCGTGGTAAACAGAGGAACATTACCTCTGCGGTTGGGGTCAGGGTGACGCGAGTTGAGCTATGACCACAAAGTGAAATTGCTTCCGTTACCGTAGACAGCATTCTAGACAGGGCCGCATGTCCAACCTAACAGCTTCAAAGTCCTGTTGATTGACCAGCGCGCTTGCTGTACTTCTACCACTGTCACTACTCAGCAGCCCGTGTTTCGATACAAACACGTGACAACCACATCGAAAAGATGAAGCAAAAGTGACTTTCGTTGGCTCTGGCGGGCCTTCTCTGTTCCTAACAAGCAAGATGCCCTTTCCTCGATCTCGTCCAGTAGACGGAAGAACTACTCGCTTTCATGGTGGTCCAAGCGTTCCGAGTCCTCGTCAAGTGTCCAGACTTGACGTCTGTCGGTCTTCGTTTTGTCATATGGGCTACCGTACATACTCTATGCTCTATGGATGCAAGTATTTCCGAGCTGACAGTCCTCTGCTCGAGCTTGAGTCTGAGCCACGACACTGTCTCAAAGTAGTGGACCTGTTTTCTTCCTTCATAGGCTCTACGTTGCCTGAACGTTCAAGTCAAACGATCATTGATGTTGTCTCGCGCACGAGCTGAAGGTCTTCTTGAGCTAGCTTCACGTCTTTGCTCGCGAGGTCAGTTATGCATGATTCAGACATGCAAAAGGACGAACTCGCTCTACCAGGAAATTATAAAACGAGTCCAAATCCAGAGTATGGAGCAGCAACCTCCGAATATCTGTCTGAGAGCAAATGCAACTCACTCCACGCTTGGTATAACTGCTTCACTGATTCAAACTTGAGGTTAGTTCATATCGGAAACAATCAGTTTCATGCATACGTTGGTAGATCTAAAGATTGCCAAATGGGGATTTGAGAACTCTTGAGCAATGGCATGCTAGTATCTCAAAAGAATGTGCAATGTGCACATTTCTGTTGTTTTATTCCGAATGTTATTGAATTTTCACGAAGTGATAGCTTGTTTGGTAGGAAAGTTGTTAGGCAGTCGTAAGTGGTGTAGAGTTTCAGGCTGGGCACAACTCCAGTTCGGACCCTGCTGATTTCATGCAGGGCACAGAGATGGAAAGCCTGAGTTCTCCAGGCTGAACTGTACTTTGAAGCATCGAAAGATTCTTGGTTTACAGCTCGAGATTTTTTGCATACTTGATGAATGGACTTACTGTGGAACGACGTTCTGGCTATCTTTTTGCCTTAGGACATTTTGAATTAGATTGACTTTTATTAATGAATGATACTGATAAAGTTTTGTGCTTAACTTTCCATGTGCAGAGTTCATCAAAAGCGATAACATTTTTAAACACCTTGAAACTAAAAACCATTAGTGGGATCAGATTGCCAGAAAGAGCAGAAGCTGATATCCATCGCAGCAAAATGGCATTGCCTTCCTTTCCATCTGTATGGGCTTTGCTGTGTCTGCTTGTACTAGTAGAGGCTCACTCGGATGGTGTTGATTACTATTTGCCAACTTGCCCGCAAGCAACATCCGTCGTCAAGGAAAAAGTCACCGAATATTTGAAGCACAACAAGAATCTGGCAGGGGGATTTCTGCGATTGCATTTCCATGACTGCTTTGTAAGGGTGAGTTGTACGAACCTGTTGGGCCGACTCGCTTCTGCAGCATCACTAGAACGTCCAGTGTTCGGACCATGTCGCAGCAAACAAGAAAATGCCCGTAAGAAATTAGGATGGCGACCTTCCAACTCCAACGGGAGATATCAGTTGTCCTTATCACTCCAACGCATACAAAGGAGCAATTGTTTGGATAGAAGACTTGTTCAAAGCACGCAGTTTTGATGGACCAGAATGTCTTATTCTGTCGAAAAGACCAAGTATCTGACCATCACTGATACTGTTGTCATTCACTTATGCAGGGTTGCGATGCATCTGTTCTTCTGGACTCACCAGAAAAAACAGCAGAGAAGGATGCACCAGGCAATGCGGTATCGTTGAGGGGATTCGAAGAGATTGCGGAGATGAAGTCATTGTTGGAAGATCAGTGTCCCGGCATTGTGTCATGCGCCGACATCGTTGCTCTGGCTGCTCGTGACGCCGTCGTCAAGGTAACCATCCAAGTGTCCAGTCCACGCTTGAATTCTACAGGTCTCCTCCTCTCTATTCTCGAAAGACCAAACGCTCTTTTAGAGCGGAAACTCCGAAGATCTTCGATGAAAATGATTTCGAGTCGAAATGATCGGGAACAGAAAACAAAAAGCGGTTTGAAGATTTATGCACTCGTTTGCAGAACTGACCAAGTTGAATCGCCTATCTGCAGGTAGGAGGCCCAAGCTGGCCTGTAGCTTTGGGGCGCAAGGATGGTTACATATCGTCGGACGTGGAAACGAACGCGAGTCTCCCGACTACATTCATGAGCTTCGAGGAACTGGTGCAAAACTTTGCCGCCGTGGGGCTGGATGAGGACGAGATGGTCGTTCTTTCAGGAGCACACACGATCGGTCGATCCACATGCTTGTCAGTAAAAAACCGCCTGTATGAATTCGACGGAGTTGAAGGCGCGGTCGACCCGTCACTCGACAGCGACTTGGCGGATCAGCTCAAGAAAAAGTGTCCTCAGAACGAGGATGGAGAAATCCTTGAGATGGATCCGACCAAGAACACATTCGACCATCTCTACTTCAAGGCTGTTCTGGCCAATAAGGGAATTTTCCACTCTGATGCTCAGCTTCTGACCACTGAAGTCGGTAAGAAGCTGGTCAAGAAGTATTCTGTACCCGGATCATCCTTCTCCCAAGACTTCGCCGCAGCCATGGTGAAGATGAGTAACATTCAGTGGAATCCCCTGGGAGAAGTTCGCAGAGTCTGTTCCGCCGTCAACCAGTAACGCAGGCATGGAAGGGGAAGCTGCAAAGCAGAACAGAAGCTTTACTTCAGTGCGCCATGTTCGTGATCAACACCGCTGCGAAGGCGGTCAAATTGGTCAATTAGCAGTTAGTTTGAACTTCTATCTGATAAATATTACAGTGTAGGTATTAAGCATATTTCCGGTCTTCAGCCTACTGCCTTGTACAATTACAGCTTCATTAGAATGGCGACATGACACGGAAGATCTCGCAGGTTTTGCTCTTGGCTTCCAACCATCCTGAATTTCACGTGAACAGTTCACACGATAGAACAGTTTCCCCGCTTCATAGCCTTGATGGGATTTGGGACTATTCAGATTCATCGTGCAGATCGTTATTATTCACATCCCTGTAGTAGTCACATGTTAAAGACAAATAATATTCTTGAGCTATTCTTGAAAAGACCGGAATATAAGAGGAGAATCAATTCCTCTTCTTCTGGTCATTTTTCTGTTTGTTCTTATAGATGCTTGGTCATCTAATGTCATGCTTTTCGTCACTCATTAGGTTTTTGTTCTAAATTGATGTGGGATTGAAGGAATGAAGGAACGAATAAAAGGGTACATGATTCATGCATCGAAAGTAAGGGGAGCAGGCCAAGAACCAAAGTGAACAACCCATAGTTGAACTCATAGGCCATTTCCATGATGGTAATGTTCTTATTGTACCTCAGGACTTGTTGAAACTTATTGTCGAGCGATTCCAAAAAATTAAATTATTTTTTTGTGGGCGTCAATTTAATTTCGCATAATGTACTTTCACCATGTAATGTAGCAAAAACTATGAAAATATCTCATCAAAGATACACAATGAATCCAAATGACTAATATGGAACAATTTTAAGCTAACATCCCAATAAGAACTACATCATATATTATCTATAGATTCAAATATATAGATCAAATCGTAAGAGAGAGCAATTGAACAATCACTATTTAATATGAATTATTAAGTAGTACTATGTACTGCAACACATACATACATGTTGGGTAAAACATGTTGCAAAATAAGGTAAACGAATAGATAATACATTTGATGTAGCATGATAAGCTTGCATACAAATGCAATCATGTACAAACATCTCTAAATTGAACTACAAATTGAACTACAAACATCTCCATATAACTTCCAAGAAGTTAGAGAGTATTATCTTTTTTAACACATTATATCATTTCTTACTTATTTAAAAGTAAGGAGTTTAACTTCCTTGAAACTTGTAAGATGTGTATTCACAAAGTTTGCAAGCTTAGCATTATATTCTTGGACCAAGTAAATATACATCGTATCTTGAATTGACCACAAAGCAATTTAACGTTTTTCATAAGAAAGATTACATCGTAAATCACATTATGTGTAAGTATAACACCTTATGTAACTAATTTTGCACTCCAAATTTGCAACGATTGTAATGGACTTGGTAGCATATAATAGTCTTTCTTATTTACACATGAATGCTGAAGATGCATATGGTTAGATCAAGCTAAGAACAACATTTTATTATAGAAGAAGTATCTGGTTTGAATAAAAAAAACCAGATAAACCAGATTCTGGTTTGAATAAAAATATATATCATGATATATATTTTAGTCAAAATGCATAGATATGCATACTTGTAAGAGCAAAATAACACTCATAACCCTCATAGTACAATGTATAATGACATCCAATGTCAGAATCTGTAGAATATGCCGAAACATTTGGATGGTCAAAATAAAGGTTAGGATTCTAATTCAGTTTATGGACAAAGAGAAAAAATTACCTAAGCTCATGTTGAAGTTCTAGAGATAACATTTCAAGATGGTAGAATGACTTCTGTTTAATATATAAACTTGATAACTACCATTGCATATATCAATTCAAATTACTTATATGAAAAAAGAAGAAGTTTAAAGTACGTTATTTTATTGATACTTATCATGTTACTAATCTCATCAAGCATGTGCATTTATGGATATATAGATGTAGACATCCAAAAGTGTTCAAGTAGCAAAAAGTGATGTGTAATATTAACAATGTTAATCATATCTTCCATATAAGATTCTAACTATGAAAGAAATAGATAACACAACAAGATGGATAGAGTTACAAATAACATTGGCAACAGATTATTTCAGATCTTGTTGTCACAAATTTGGATAATATGCAATTGTAAAGCGTTATGCGAAGTAAACATGTAGATAAGCAAACAGTAATAACATCTAACATACTAAACATCACATGAGATCCATTCGTGAAGCAAGTTCATTAAGTTAACGTATATCTTTGAAAAACGAAATGTCTCGTTCAAATGAGAGACAAAACCAAGAACATTAATGCAATGCATATCTTGATGTATTATAGAAGTGGAACAAATAATTTTGTCTGGCCAAAACAATAACATGGAACTTCTGTGATGAATTGTAGAAAAGAGGTACATGAATGTTAATATAGAGTACAAAGAGAAGTGAATTCATCACGAGAAAATCCATGATGAGAGAAGAAAGTACATTAAAACGAAGAGTTTCCATTTGTTCGTTGATAACGAAGAACCGTTAGTGGAGGGGAAATACCGCATTCCAAAGTGTCGGGAGTGGCAAAGGACTGGCAAGAGAATCGTGCAATATTGAAGGTTGGATTCGTAGTGAGGTCCTCTCTATCATCCACTGTACGGTACCTTCCGTAGCATTGTAATTACAGACTAATGTGTCTCCATCTAACAGACAGATTGGCATATGCTCAAGAATGTGCTTATCAAATAGAGGGGTTTAAGGAGGGGCCAATTCTCTGGGTCAAAGAGAGTCGAAATTCCGAACATCAGGATTCGCGACAGGAGGATCGAAGTGCAGAAGCATGACTTGTGGGAGGACGCTGGACATTTGGGTTGAAAGGAGGCAGCCAATCGAGAAGGAATTTGCTTGCAGAGGAGGAGGAAGAGATCCGATTTTGAATGGCATTCTGGTGAGTATATGTGACACGTGCTTGGATCCAAGAAATCCCTGATGACGCGAGTTGAAGAGAAGTCAGCAGTCGTGGCGATAGGCAATTTAGAGAAGAGCGGGTCTTGTGCAAGTGAGATGGACTCTTTGAACAGGGTCCCGTGCAGGAGTGGTCAAGCTGGCGTCCCGGCTTCAGTATGCCGCAGAATTTGATTTACGCTTGATGTGGGGTGAAGCAGGTGAATGAAATTTCTGAAAGGAAGAACGGCGTTACTGGCTGAGCATTTGTTCCGATAGGCTCTTAGAAAGACTTGGGAGTTCAATTTTTCGAAGAGCTCGGAGTCCATATCTCATCTGTTTGCCCCTTCAACCTAATGGACGACGACCCGAATGCTCTCTCTGTGGCTAATCAGAGGACTTTGTTTCTGGTATAGTTCTGCTCAAGATCTATTCAATTTACAATTTTTATGATATCTGAAATGTTCTTTTATTTAGACGTTTTACTTCTCCTCGGACCTGTGATGAATACTGGGGACGCACTTTGATTTACGGTGCAGGTGAACACTTTTGTCATTCATACTGTTCGCCTTTTGAACAACTTCTCCGTCATATGTGAAGACAAGCTCGCAGATGTTCATCGGTAAGTTTTTGAGGACATGTGGGCGTCTCCCAGATCATAGCTCATGTTGCAGTTGATATGACATTTGATATTCGACAGTTGACCAAGGACTGGTCATTTTAAAGATAGAACGACAATTCTAGTCAGATTAATTGTAATTTGTTCGGTTCGTTGTATTGTACATGGAGAATTTGCAGAAGAATTTTGCGAGCAGATGCAACCTTGTATCTTTTAGAGGCTAAGCTCAGGAGCGTAGATGGCTTAGAGGGTGCGGGCGAGCAGATGCCTTTGGATACGCTGCCCGATCTCGTTCTTCCTGCTCCAGCTGTAGAGTCTTCCTTTGAACCCGAAGGTTCCTCCTCCAGGTTTGTACCAAAATGTGCTCCCGGATGACTCTTGTCTTCTGGATCTCTCCGTGAGTTTAGCCCACCTTCTTTTCCTTTAAGGCTCAGGTTCCTTAGCAGGGTCTAATATTCTCAGATAGTGAAGTGGATGAATATTTCATGTTTTGTCGCAAAACTTCTGTGGCATGTAGCGGTATGGAGCAGCCATTGTCCCCGACAAGGTCTGAACGAAGTAGAGCGAACTCGACAACTTCGCAGTCCACTTCAGATCAGACTCAGCTCATGAAGGTCATAGTCCTTCACTCAACTTGCTAATCATGCAATATTGTTATGGACATGACGTTTTTATCTCCTTTGTTCATGTCAATCTCTATTTTGGCCTTCATCAACCGAACAGACAATGTCAAAATTCCTACCTTACAGAAAGTTCTCTGCATCAGGATAGGTGCTTTTGCTCATTTATGTATTGTCCATATGTTGTTCCGCCTATTATGTTCAAAATTGTGTCTATGAAAGGCATCTCGTAAACGAATTTGTCACTCTTATCAGGTGAAAGACAATCCACTGTATGCCAAATTCTTCCGAATGCTTCAAGTTGGCGTTCCGCTTCCGGTACATACATCTTCAAATTCCTTGTTTCTTTTTTAGTTTCGAGTTTTTCCAGCCTCTTGAGTAGAAATGAACGAATTCTGCTGGGGTTGAAAGTGGTCCAGTCAAAGAATTTGATCTTAGAGAATTGTTACATTCCAGTAGACATCGGGAAAAATCGACTAGTTCATGGAGTAGGCAATTCTAACTGGTGGGAAAATAACGTGTTCGTGGGAGGATGAGCAGATGGTAGCCGAAATAGGTTACAATTTTGTTTGTGCAGCACGTTGCATCTTGCCATGCAGGTCCCCATGTTTGAAACCATATTCGATCTGAATTACTATGGTTCAGGGTGAGTCCTTGTTGGTGTTTTGAATGGCATGCTTTATATTCTTGATGCTCTACTGAAAGCTAAAGCTGTTGTCTGCGTGGTGATAGGCCGTTAAAATACAAATGAATATTGAGGGTTTCGATCCCTCACTACTAGACGCTCCTGATGCAGCATCACCTGTGACTTAAGGCGTTACACGGTTTACTTCTCATCTTACGAATCTGGTTGGAAAAGATAAAACCTTGAAGGGGTTCTCAAGGAGCTATACCGGCGCCCAATATCATTCTTTGGAGTTCACCACGTCAAGTGCTCAATGGTATGTTATCACAACAGTGTTATGGTGTCACAGACCATAGCCAGAAACTTTCTGGGTTAAATGTAAATAACTGCTGGTCTCCGACCCGTATTAGAAACCTCTTTTCACAGTGCTGGCTGTGTCCGATTGTACATAGCCAGCATATAGTAGGATCAAATTGTGTGCTGTATTGTAGACTTCAAGACTAGCACTCTAAAATGTCTTCACTTTCAATGGTTAAGGTAGTATCATATCACTATGCCGTGAATATTCATGTGCGACCAGGTTGCGCTCTTGGTTAGAGTGGTTTAATTCCCTAACAGTGAGGATCAGAGTATACAGTCGGTTCCAGAATCTGGTGAAGATCATCAAAGTTGTAAAGCAATCTTAGCTTGGTACTTCACCTCGTGTCCTGTCAGAGTATTCTCTTGTAGGAATCCCTATGAAACCAGCCTGGAGACACCCATGGTGGAAATCTTGCCAACGGCATTGTGGAGAGCACCATTATTGGGATGAAGGTCAGGCATTCCATCTGCGGATGAGAGTGTTAGCCAGATTGTGGACAGGGATCTTGATTTTCAGCATGTGAGTCGCTCATTTAAAGTTCCTTTCAGGTTCTCCAGAACAAAAACAAAATTTCCTGATCTCTGGATGAAGCGAAAAGCACGTGCAGTCGAAAAGATGCATTCCTGATCTTTACGATGCTTTTAGTTATTTTAGACATGATAGAGCCTGTGAAGTCGGGATTCCGAAAATTCATATGACAATTAGGTGCAATGGCTTATGAACCTTGCACAATGAATCCTCTCTAGACATTTAAAGTAGTCATTGTGCTTTTCATGTTTCCGAAGTAATTATCATTGTTCTGTCGGTTGTTTCATATCAGTGAACTGAAATCAAGACGATACCATATACAGTTTCGGATTGTAGACTTTAGATACATAGACTTAGATTCTACATCCTTCGTTCTCAGATTTATGATATATTATCATGTGGTTTGCATATGAAGTAAAATTTCCCCTCGCTTGCGAGAGGATAATATAAGAGTTTTCACTGTTGAGAATGTACGATCAGACAGCCTTCACATCTATCATTTAATTTGTGAGTAGTGGATGCAAGTGGAAATTTAATTCCGGTGTTTCGACGTATCCGATTGTGCGGTTTTCCCGTGGTTTTTTTCGGGCACGAGTATCTTGCGATTTTTTCAAATTTCTGTCTTTCCTATAGTATTCAGCTTCTCACAACATTCAATTGCGATTTCGGCGGAATGTGGGTAATTCGTGTTTACATTCGGTGACAATTTCCATTCGCAGATCGTCTGCAAGTTCTTGTTTGTCTTCCTCGTCTTTAAAATAAAGGTTTGACAGTAAATTCATCATATGAAATTATTTTTGCAAATTTTCATTCCACAGTTTACATGAGTATTTGGCTGTATACATCTCTGCATCTCTTTAAGAAAGAAGAGCTTCTATATCCACAGGGACAAAATCTTCCTTTTCTTTCCTTATCCATGTCTTCAAAAGGACCTGGAGCTAACCATACAACATACACCTTCTCGGAAAAGAGCGCTCGCGTCCTCTTCCTATCGCAAGCAATACGTGATCGAGCTTGAATACTTCAACCACAACTCCGAAGATTCATCTTTGAAATTCATCAACTGGTTACATATGGACTACGCCTGGATTCAGATTATGTTAAATGGTAATCGTTGGTAGAATCAGCCTTTCGGTCGAGATTTTCTATGTTAACGGTGATCGGCAAATGCTACAAGAAAGGAAGCTTGCCTACTCATCTCATCCGCATTCCCCGATGGTGTGGATGAGTGATTGAACCCCATTTCGAGAGCGAGCTGTGGATGTAGACATCAAAATCTCACCGCAAGCTCTCTACTCGGCGTTGAATATTTTGATGGAGATTCACAAATCCACCAAAGTCATCCCACAAACGAAGCGAAGAATTTTCACGGTATGGCGGCAGTTCACAACTGGAACAACTTTCTCAAACACATCTCTATTTAAACCTTGTTGTAGGAAATTGGCGCAAGTATTTCGTTTCCAGCGGTTAATTGCTCGTCCGCCTTCTTTGCAGCCAGCTTCCTCAAAGCAATGAGCTGTTTCTTTCTCTCGTAGAAGACCTTCGATTTGACCTTTCTCTTCTCCTCCAACTCCTGCATCAGTATATTGTGAGCTCAACGTCCTTGACGCGGACAACAATAAAATTGAAAATCGAATGCGGATCGAAGCACAAGCTGAATGGGAAGAGCATGCCCAACAATGGACTTTCGCTATTTCAGTCGTACATGTACGTTGTGCACACAGTAGGAGTACATAATTATCATGTGTCAATCCACTGATGATGAAGATTCCTATCAGCTATGACGTCGAAAATCTTCGCAAAACAAACACCAAAAGACCTCGGCATACAGCATGGGCAAATCGATCGCGACCACAATGTACTTCAAGTAGGACAGACGGAGAAGGAAAAGCAACCGAGGTAAGATGAGAGCTCACCTTCACAATGTCATAATGATGCCATCCAACCTCAGATGAAAGGCGTCCCAACAAGCAAAACTTGTGGCCCGGTTGCAACCTCAAAACCCTGTACAGTGTGACGAACTTCCGTTAGTGAATCCGATGAGGTGAAAGAGTCCCGAACTGGGTATCCACCCGCAGCGCTTAGCTGCTGCCAGAGAGAACTGGAAAAAGTACCAACAGACTGAAGCATTCCAAAACGGCATAGAATCAGAAGCATTAACAGCATTCCAAAATCCGTATAGAATTGCCGATTTCCAAGAGTGAGAATAAGGTGGATATCAACTCCCCGAGCTGGTACAGAACCATCCCAGATCGCCAGGGTTAACAAGTAGATTGAATTTGCATCCACCCACAGTACAAGCACGAAATGTGAACTTACTTCAGGGCATCAGGAATGACCATCCTCTTCATCTTGTCATAAGGCTGAGGGACTCCCTCGAATGCCTTTAATCGTTCGAGGGCAGCGGCACCTCTCTTTGTCTTGTGCGGGATCATTCTGCACGAGCACGACTCGTAAGATTTCGTAAACTACAGTTACTGTAGGCCTCATTTACAACGCCGCCCTTTGAGTTTGAGATAAATAAAAACTCCTTTGGAAGAGAAATGAAGGTAGCTACCCACGAATGGTCCTCCACAAGATTCTGGAAGGAGCACGGAAGTGAATGGGTCCCTTGCTTGGCTTGGTGTTCATCCTCTTTCTCAGAAACCTCAAGTACTTCATTTTTTGTCGTACGAGTCCACCGGAAAGAGCGATTTCCTCACAACGAACCACAACCTGAACCAAGGCGTAAAACTGGCTGAATACCAATCCCAATCCCAATCCACCCCCACAGACATTGCAATCTTGGAAATTTTCACAGATCACCCGCGGTCCTGTCATGCAGCGAAAAAGTAGACAACACATACCACGCGTTGGCCATTGAGAAGCTCTTTGGCGAGAATGGACGCTAGGCGTCCAAGCATGTGGTGCCGTGCATCGACGACGACCACTTTGGCGCAGACACCAGAACCGGACACCATTGTCAATCAATTAGGAATACGGTCGAGCAAACTCGTGAAAAGATCGAGCAAATGCGGAGTTCGAAACCTAGTCTCGAATTCCCTGGTCCGAAACCCGAGCCCTTTGCCTTGGCGGCCCACCCCGCCGACCCACCAGGTTCGGTTCTAGGGTTCGGCCGAACCTCTTTCGACCGAGCCTCCGCTCATGGCCTCTGCACTAGACTACTCTAGGCTTGGCCACGGTCCGGTTAACCCAGGTTTTAACCCGTTAACCATCTGTCCCGACCCCTGGAGGGGCTGGCGGGGGAGCGAAGGAGGAATTGCGCGATGGCTCGAGGATTAAAATGAGCCTCCACTCGGAAGGTTCTATTTTAAATTCAAATCATATATCCTTTCTGTCAAATAATATTTGAATTTTTTTTTCTCATTTGAAGTCTATCTATTTGCTAAAAATCATTTTAAAAATATTTTAAATATATAATTTTTATCTTTGAGTGCATCAAAATTTAATTAGGTCAAAAATATTATCTATTCATCTTCAATTTGTGGTTTCTAAATTGTTTTTAATTCTTTATATTTTATTATAATTTATAGATTTCTCAAATCATCCAATTTTGATATATTTTTCCACAAAACAAGTCATTATTCTGTTTTAAATATGAATTAAATATTCCAAGGTTTCATTTTTGCCAATTAGTAATTGAATATTTTTTAAATTTTACATTTAATGTATGTAAATTCCTGGGATTGTTTTTTCTATTCTCTAAAGAACAATTTATGGGTTTTTTTAATAAAAAAATCATTTTTCATTCTTATTTTTTAATCTATTTCCAAATTGAAACATTTTTTTCTCAATAATCAACACATATATCTTTCGTAATTTAGATGGTGTCAAAATATCAAGATTTTATGGAAATTGAATCAAAATATAAGAAATGAGATTTAAATAATCTACCTATTTTTTTAAATAAAAAAAAACTACAATATAGATTATATGTCTTCATTGGTTTCAGATGTGATTTATAATATAGAAAATATTTAATTTTATTTCATGTGCATTTCGTATAACTTTACTAACATATCTTTAAACTTTGTTGTTTTTATTCCAATTTGTTACACCGGATCAGGTTTTATGAACTTTGTAAAGTAAAAAAATCAAATCGGACCGTTAGATCTTTCTAATATTTATTATATATGCTGGATACATACTTAAACTAATATTGAACGGTTCAGATTTTACATCTATGTAATATACACATTTACAATGATTGTTTCAATCTTTTATCACTTTTAATTCTTTCATATATTTCAATAATACAAGAAATGGTTACTGAAAATTTTAACTCATGTTTATCAAATTTATTATTATTTTCAATTTAATTTTCAGAATCTTCATCTTGGAAAAAATAAAATTTAAAATAATAAAAAAATGCATAGATTTCAAAATATTCTGAATTAAAATATAATTAATTTATAATATATAGAGATTAGTTGTCTAATTTATTAGTGTCAAACAATGATTTTTAACATTTAAGATGAAAATATATTATATTTTTTCCATTTTTGTGTAGTGTATTCTAGGATTCAAATAGAATTTAGATTCAGAATTTCATGAAAAATTTACAATAAATATTCTTATTCATATTTCATAATAAACATTTTTTTTAAAATTTTTAAATTTATTCAATTTTCATTAATAGTTGGGGGGATTTTAAACCGTCCGAGTGGAGCTCATTTGAGTCCTCGACCCATGGGTCCTTCGCTCCCCAGCCGCAGCCCCTCCCATCGGCCACGTAGGGGTCGGGACAGATGGTTAACCGTTAACCGATATGGCAAAATGCCGGACCGGTTAACCGTTAACCGGACCGTGGCCAAGCCTACCGGAGATAGCAGGTTTACTGCCAGCACTAGGGCCGGCGCTCTTGGCTTCAAAGAGTTTCTCGACGACTCTCACCATCCTTTCTCTTTCTCTCGTTCTCTCGAAGTTGCGCCAGCCTCGCTGCCTCAGCAGAACGATCCAATTTCCTAGCAGCGTTAGGAAAAGTCGCCACCATGGGGTGAGTGTAGTGAAGAAATTTTGCACTGGTGGTCAACTGCAACCGACGATCGTGAAGTTTTGCACTTTGTGGAAGAAGCTTTCGCGGGGTTGAAATTAATTTGTTGTTCCGTGCTTGCGGGTGAGATTAATTCGTCGTTATATCCTTGTCGATGTTCTTGCAGTAAGACCAGGGGTATGGGAGCTGGGCGCAAGCTCAAGACCCACCGTAGAGCTCAGCTGTGGGCTGACAAGTCTTACAAGAAGAGTCACTTGGGTAACGAGTGGAAGAAGCCCTTCGCCGGCTCTTCCCACGCCAAGGGAATCGTTCTCGAGAAGATGTGAGTTTAATTTCCCTGATTTCGGGCTGTGTAGGCGTCATGGGTAGATAGGGATGTCCGATTGAGATATTTGCACCCACAATGGTAGTTTCCTGTGCAAATGGTGCAATTGATCTCGTCCTGTTCACCTGTTCGTCCTGTTCGATTTTCAAATCTGTCACGTCAATCTGAACTCGTGTTTGGCTGTGGGCAGTGGTATTGAGGCTAAGCAGCCTAACTCCGCTATCCGAAAGTGTGCTCGAGTACAACTTATCAAGAACGGAAAGAAGATTGCTGCCTTCGTACCCAACGATGGTTGTTTGAACTACATTGAGGAGAACGTGAGTGCTCGCACCAACATTTCGATTAGTTTTTTTAGGGTTTTTAAACGCTGATTTTTCTTCGTCTGGTTTTCATCCGAAGTACATAGAGGAGAACTTATTCACCAAATATGTCGCTTAGGGTTTTCTAGGGTTTGTTTTGGAGATTTTTTCATTCGTCTGGTGTTTTTCTCGAACAGCAGTGAAGAGGTCGCAGTTTTCGCACCGAATCTTTCGATTAGGTCTTATTAGGGTTTTCTTCGATGTTTTCTCTCTATCGTCTGGTATTCATTCGAAAGGGTACAATTTAACTTTTGGATTCTACCAGACGGATTGAAAGAACAATTTGAAACCTGACATTTAGACGATGTCACAATTTTAACTTCACGTCACAATTTTCCTTCTCTTCTGCAGGACGAAGTTCTCATCGCTGGATTCGGTCGTAAGGGACACGCAGTGGGAGATATTCCCGGAGTACGATTCAAAGTCGTGAAGGTTTCCGGTGTCTCATTGCTCGCTCTTTTCAAGGAAAAGAAGGAAAAGCCCCGATCATAGAGCGATTTCTGCTTCTTTCCTGCCCAGTTCGAGTCTCTTCCTGCAGGGTATGCCCAGTTTGAGTCTCCGCCTGCAGGGTATGTAGCGCTACTTAGCGCTAGAGGGATTTCAGGGTACGTAGCGCTAGAGAGATTTTTAATCTCAGATTTTATCATTGACTACTGTAAACAGTAAACGCGGCCTCTTCTATTAAAAAATGACCTCCCAGAGTTTCTTTCTCCCGTTGCAGTGAAGTACAATCGTTGATTTAACCAAGAGGTATCTTGAATACATGTCTGATCGGCACTTACTCGAAGGTCCACTTGTTGATGGACGAAGTTTGATCTTCCACGATGATATGAACAAATGTCAAGTGAACATGTTCAGTTGATATTTGTGAAATATGCTACAGCTTATATGTTGTTCAGTTGTTCGACTTGATTTCTGTCGTTATTATGTTTCACTCGTCTACGGGCTCGCTCGACTAGAATCCGTGATGACCGCAGAGCATTTCCAGTAGGTATTTCTTATGAACATCTAACAATCAGTTAGTCAGCAAAATTGATCGGCATTATTAATATTGCAGTCGTGTGTTCGGAAAGAGACCAGAAAATATATTGTTAGAGAAAAACAATACATCAGGAAGTCCTCAACATTCTGGATATCCAATCTACAGCATAGCTGTCATGTGGGTAGTTGTTGCCGTACAGTATGATATGTACTTACCATAGGTACAGATTTCATCAGACCTTTGCTTCGTTCGTGACATCTCACAGCTATCCTCCCAAGGGAATGTACTTTCTAGACTTTATTAGTGTGTTGAATGGTTATATGTCGAAAAGAAATATCGTTTCGGCAGATTGCTCTCTCAGGAATGGGAGAACGTACGAACCACAAAACAAGTCGGAAAGCAGACTTCTGTTGTCGAGAAAAGACTTCTGTGCTCGAGCTCGTGCCCTAGAATGGTAAACTGGAAGTTGTTCGCGAGAACGATGAGTCATCTGCTGGCGTAGAGGGTGCTGTCGCGTCTCCAACTGTTGCATATCTCTCTTGATGCAGATATTGTAAGTAAGGGCGACTGTACAGTGCTCTCGTTCTAAATCATTGCTTCAGGCCGATGATACGCGGACTGCTTGCTCAGTTTGGAGTCTGGCTCTGATACTTCCTGTCGAACGATACTTGCAAATGAGCTAATACTTTTAAAGCCAGGAGTAAGCTTCGTGTTACCACGAAAAGAATACAACAAACCTTTCCTTCGAGAGGAAGAGAAGTGTCTTTTGTCTGCTTGCGTGCGAATGATATTTTCATAACACGCCACCTATGCCAATAATACAGTACAAAGAGGAAAACATGTAACACATGTATTTACCCACTAGTTCCATGAACAGAAACGAGATTCCAACTAGCGATATTGTAAGTAAGGGCGACTGTACAGTGCTCTCGTTCTAAATCATTGCTGCAGGCCGATGATACGCGGACTGCTTGCTCAGTTTGGAGTCTGGCTCTGATACTTCCTGTCGAACGATACTTGCAAATAAGCTAGTACTTACTTTTAAAGCCAGGAGTAAGCTTCGTGTCACCACGAAAAGAACACAACAAACCTTTCCTTCGAGAGGAAGAGAAGTGTCTTTTGTCTGCTTGCGTGCGGATGATATTTTCATAACACGCCACCTATGCCAATAATACAGTACAAAGAGGAAAACGTGTAACACATGTATTTACCCACTAGTTCGATGAACAGAAACGAGATTCCAACTAGCGACTGGATCGACAAATGGACGAAATATGTCAGTACTTCTTGGAGAAAGGTAATGCCTGAAACTCCCTGGATATTTTCAATGGCCATTTGTGACTGCCAGACATTATATAGCTTTTGAATCATCCATCCAACAATTTCAGTATTGGAACGAATTATCTAAAACGCAATCGGAGAAAAATGGCAGTACAAATATAGAATCGAAAAATAAACCTGTACATCTTTATCTCTTAAATCATTTCACCGCATACGGGAAATCAAAAACTATATACGCTCCAACTTTATATGGAGAGAAATTAGAAAAAATTGTCTAGTATTGTGAAACTGAGGGTGAAAAAGTTTGAACGTGGCCGGTCAACTGAAAAGTAACTTCTCGAGACAAATATCTCGATCAAACAATGTAACAAACAGTAAGCAAAAGGTCAAAATGATTCATGCAAATCAGCGAAGGGAATATATAATCACAACAACGGTAAAAGATTGAGGAGAGAGAAATTTGCTTGATGGTATCTGCGAAAAGTAATTTGATTGATGGGACCCTCAGCTTTAATTTCACCCTATGGTACCTCAACGACGGTGTGCCGTCCTACATAGTTTTTGTAATTACGGTTACTATTGGTTACAATGCGGGGATTGTAATCAAAGTTCAATCACTGATTATAATTTCTGGTGGATTATCACGGGGACAAATATCGATTTTGCTTAAAGTGCAGTTTGTTGTGCTTCAATTCTTCCGATCGCACCGATTCGCGCGGATTTCTCTGCTGCCTCCCACCTGCACACTCTTTCCGTAACCCTGTATACGACGAGGAGCTTGTACCGGAAAGTGGTCCGAGCTCAAGTTTCTCGATCATCCATTTGTGGCGAACAAATAAACTCCGGATAAACATTTCTTTGCTCGTCACCAAGAGTAGTGGCTGGATACAGAATTACAACATAAAAACAAGTGAGTGTGATGGAGGGCGAAGTCCACTCTGTCCGCGGGTGCAGTTGACTCGTTGCACTCTCTCTAGTTGTTATTGGAACATGGGTGACGGTGCATCGTTCATGGGTACCATAGAGTGAAATGAAACTTAAAGTTTCACATCAAACAAATTACTTTCTGCAGGGTACCATTAAGCAAATCTATCGATCTAACGCCGAAGCAAAACAATGAACGTTCAAAGCGGAACAATAGAACTTTCTCAGCCGCGTAAAGACGAATCAAACGACGAAATTACGAAAATTAGTCTCTCAAAGCTTAATTATAAATTAGTATGCCATCTTTTTGGGTGGAATAGAGTCTCCTTCATTCACATGCATTCATTTCTGGTGTTTTTCCGAACATACGACTACAAGAGTAATCATGCCTCCACTTTTGCTGACTAACCAATTGTTAGATGGTCATTACACATACCAACTGGAAATGCTCTGCGTTCATCTTCCATCGTCATCTCCACACGCTATTTGAGGATATTCTCTGAGGTTAAAAACACTTGTTTGCCTCCGACTGCTGTTGTTCACACAGCGCATGGTTTTATCTTAGTATTTGAGAATCAAATCTTCAAACTTGTTCATTTCACAGTTGCAGAAGGACGGTCGGAGGACTAATTTCACTTCAACCCGCTCTGTGACAAGCTTACGAATTGTCCTCGCTGAGCCGAAATAAAGTTTGTTTACCGGACGTTTCGCAATTTGTTTCACCATGTGCGTACCTAAAATGCTCCCCATCTTCGCGTGTAACACACGTAACAGTAGCCTGTTGGAGGTTTACGCAAGAGAACAGGTTCATTCTGATCTGTTATGTTCCACTTTTTCTCCCACTGTGGTATCTCAACTCGTTCGTGGGTTGGGATTTCGTCTCATCACAGAGCCACGGAACAGTTGCACGCAACGACAGAAATTATCAATCAACTGAAATCAGACATGGATGGGAGTTATTTCGTCAAATATACAGACCACATTCTTATTCGCAAAGTGTGCTTCGCATCTCAGGTGGAAGACGTAGTGTGGAGACAATCAGGACTTTCGGTATTATCTATCCTGCCACTGTAATTGGTGTAAGCCCCGGGCTGAGCAAGATTTTATTTCACAAACTCGGCTTTTCCACGTATTGACTTAAAATAAGGTCTATTCTATTCTATCGCTCGGGACTAGTCGCCACGTACAGGTCCAACATCACTTTTGGCCGAAGAACTTCCCACTGAGTTCTATGTGGTCGCGACATCATTATGAACAAACAGAAGTCGTCGCTGGAAGGCAGGAGACTGTTCAGAAAGCTGTAAAAGTGCGAAGAGCATATTTTTCAAATACCAGCGCGACTGACGAGCCTCCCTCGTCATCACCACAGTAGAGGGAGCATCGTGGCAAGAGTGCAAGTAGGAGCATAAAGGATGAAAGCAGATTTTATTCGGGGCCCAAGGCGCAACCACGACATTACATGAGCAGACCCCATAGGGCCGGCGTTATTGTTAGGTGTCAGTATGTTTCAACCGGGTGTGAGGAGTGATGTACTGGAAATACACAAACCACCTTCGCGAGAGCTTGAATTGGAGACGATACTCGAACCATCCGATCGGGCGGAGGTCAGGTCGGGTCAAAACTGTGCTAGAGATGAGACAACACTTGCTCATACTGAACAAAACAGATTATTTCATTTCTTGGATATGGTACAGTGGCCAAAGTTCACCTCCCTCAAGCTTCTCGCAAACCAGTATTTCATTATCTTCCCGGCGAGTCTTGTATACACTCATCGTTCGCCCTAGACTTTTGCCTGGACGAAAATCGTTTATATCCTTCTGGGTTCTTCCGTGGACTTTGTACAGTAATGAATTGGTGAAGAGAACCCACAGCTCAATGGGCCCTGCATTTGCTCGCTCACCTCGTGCGCGAGAGATGTGATCCGGAACTTCCTCGTCCGCTAAAGTACAAGATTATCTTTCCCGCAATCTTTCGTTTGACGGGATACTAAGAAGCAGTCCACTTGCTGATGACTGAAATTTTCATCACCAGCAAAATTGTCAGCAAGTGTTCTTTCGAATGCTCGACCGGCTACAGCTACTTGGAGGATGCAGAGGGCTTGGCTCTCTGCTTCATGACTCTCTCGAGTTCGTCCAATCCTCCAACTTCTTCCAGCTCCTGCATCGCATGCAAGACTACACTCTCAGAGACGCACACCCGCGAAAACAATAAACTCACGTATAGATGGAGTTATACCACACAAAACATTCCGGCAAAAATCAAGATACAAGTCCCTGCTTCAACTTTAACAAATCCCTGTTGATTTTGGTCAATTTATTACAAAGCGAAGACATAAATTCCACATCATGTGCAACCATGGAGCTTACCTTTGGGCCGAGGAAAAGACCATAGGGTACACCCTCGTAAAGGTCAGCGTGATGAAGCTGCACTCGACCAGCGGCAGACAATTAGGTTACTGAAAGACGAAGCACCATGACAGACATCGCGACTGCACGACTGAAAGCGTAGCGGTCGATAGAAAACATTCGCGCAAATCCATGAGCTCCCTCCCTTACCTGATGGGCTGCGGCAACCTTCTGAAGATATGGGACATCGGCGATAGGTCCGACTGGGAATCGTCGGTGTACAAGACCATCGTGAACGAACATGTAGGCTATACCGAACATAGTGATGCCTAAACCCTGCACAGACGAAGACGAACATTTAACAATCAGTCATCTTCAAAAGACGGCCACTGAGTAGGAACCATAAATTTAATATCGGAAGATATCTCTCTTCTCAGTAGTCAGAGTTCGAAAGTAAGAGATGAAGACGTACCGCTCCGAAGCAGAGACCAGGAACAAGTCCTCTGTTAAGAAATCCGTAGAGCATCAGAGAGACGGCGGGAACTGCGTTTATGATAGCAAAGATGTCGTTCATTTCAAAAGGTCCTTCTCTGGGTCGGTGATGTGACTGCAAATTTCAAAGAATCTCGTCAGTGAGAATGATCTGCCACTCTGAGATTCAAGCGTCTCCAGACATTTTGAAAATCAATTCAGCCTCATAATATCCTGGTCAAAATTCGATGATAAACTGACCTCGTGCATGTTCCACAGCGATGCGTGCCACAGAGCTTTGTGCGCCCATCTAGCCCAGTATTCCATCCCAACCTGTTTCACAAAGAAAGTTGAAAACATTACATTGGTTTCAAGAAATTACCACGATACAACCTAAACCTAGACCATCATCAGGTATTGGGTGATTTTAATGTTTACGGTAAGTTGTCGACATAAGACCGACTTTTTTTCTCACATGACGAATACTAATTAGCTGAGCAACAGAAAGTACAGAAATCTTTAGAGTATTAAGAACATGTTACTACGACTGGTGATACTGCACATCACAAGACGAAGATCATAGACAACTCTAGGCTATATTCACATACCGCGGCTCCAACAGCGAGGGCAAATGTTCCGAATATTTCTGTGTACGGGATCTCGCCACTTCCCTGCAAATGTCACAATAGTCAATGGTCAAAATCTATCCTTCGACAGACCAACACCAATTCAAAATAATCAATTGAAAAGGGATTCTTCAATTCGTCAGAGAATCCCTGTCACATGGTCGACGGCAATGACAGGGAACGACTCAGACAAAACTCAGAGGCTCCAAACCACTGTCAGGGCTAGATTGCAAAAAATCGTCCAAAGCCGTTGAGTATCCACGTGAGGAATCAGCACGACAGTACGTGTATGAAGGTGTCGACAGCAGACTGGCATTGACAAGTACCTGCATTTGCCAGATAAAACGATAGAAGACGGCGGCGACGGCGAGCGTGGTGAATCCTGTCGTAGATGCGATGGCTGCTAAGAGGTATGCTTTACGTTCTGTTTGTCTCTTGGTCAATCTTTGCTGCATTTTACTGACAGCGGGAGTGTCGGGAAAACTACTCTCAACTTTGTCGGCAACATCAGCGGATTGCTCAGTCTCGAGCAGGTGCTCCTCGATGGGAGCTGGAGATTCACCATGCTGGTGCTCATCAATCTGCAAAACGGAGGGAGGACCGATGCTGCGCTGAATTCGAATCCTGCGTTGAATTCCGGTTCTCGTCATCAACGGATTAAATTCCAAGCTGCTCAATCCCAGACTCGGGAAGCTCGGCAGCGCCCTGTGTCTCAGCTGCTCGAGCCCAATCCCATCTCGCCCACATTCACGACCGCTCCTCACGACCCCGAGAGAGGCGACAGCGGTGGCGCCAGATGCTACGACCTTCAGCATTGCGATCACTCGAGGACTCCGACGGCTCACCGCACTCACGGCTCACTCACTGGTAGTCCTCGACGTCGCCGACTCCAGGAGTCGAGAACCTGCGATCAGGTCAAACCCAGGCGCGACGCTCGCTCTTTAACCAAACCGGGACCTTATCTTTGAAAATCCCCGACCCGCACTCCTTCCCCCACGTCAAGAATTCTCGCCTGCACAGCGAAGGTCTCTGATCCTCGGGTCGCTCCCGTCCGCAGTGCGTGCGTGCACATGAACTCTTCACTCGCCAGCCTCTCAACTGCCCGTCTGCGAAAGGCTCAGCCCATCAATTACTGCAACTCGCTCTCCCACTCATTCCAGGACCTCCTTGTCTCTTCGACCACACTCACGGAGCGGTCCTTCACGAGCCCAAGTCCGTTGGACAGACTCGCTCACACTCTCGCCACTCTCGCTCGCTCTCTGGCACAAGAACTCGCTGGCCCGGCCAGAGTCACTTAAGGCCCTGCACTGCGCTGCACTCGGGACTCTCTCGCTCGCGATTCCACTTCAGTCTGTCTCCAGAAACTTTCCCAATTTATCGAGGCCGGGCCCCTCCATGGATCAGAGACGCAAAAGACCAGCCAACCAGTCCAGCAGGGCAGCCAGCCAGGAAGCGTCCAAGAGCGGGAGGAGTGGAGATCCGGGGCTCTGGAGGCTGCGAGGCTGCGGATTGGAGGCGAAGGAGAGAGAAGAGGGGCAGAGCACACGAGCAGCGATGCGAGACGGCCAGGCCGGACGCAGTCGGGGGAGCCGAGAGGCGGAGGCAGTAGCGGCATGGAGAAGAACACGCTGATAGCGAATTCCTACGCAGCGCCAGTTGGCATGCGAGGGCATCGACAGCAGCCACTCGTAGCTCGGTCTTTGATTCACGGCTTATCTTGTCGAGCCCCGGACGCGTGGCTCGCATCCATTGTTCATGTGCCAACTCTATCCTCCTCGAGGTTTGTTCATGTTGGCGCTCCTCCTACGGCACCCGTGCCTCCTTCCCCCTCTCCGCCACTTTAGCGACCTTCGCGAACCTCTTACGACTCCTCCTTTCCTCCCACTGTCGTCGCTCGGTTGGCCCCCCGCCCCTCCTGCCGCTGAGTCCCCCTGTTCTCCCGGGGCCTTCCTTACGGCCTCCTGCTCCCGTTCTGCTCTTCCTCCTCCTCCTCCTCGTCCCACCCGGTGCATTCGTCCCCCTCCGGGCCGTTACCTACCGCAAACCACGTACTGTCCTCTAGACCCCCTCCGTTCAGCTCACTCGGCGGAGCCGTTGACTCGACGTCGAGCTCGTCGTCTCGCAGAAGAGACGTCGTCTCGTAAGTGTTATGCTGTGGCAGACTTTTCTTGGTCCCGCGCACCGCATGGAGTCCGGACCGCCCCACGAGCGGCGGGGCGGAGTCACATGATCCGTCCGTCCATGGGCCTCGAATTCGGGGGGTGGAGAAGTCACCCGTCTGCGCACCGTGTTGGATGGTTGCTCGTTGGCACATCCATTGTTTTGTGTCCGCCAGATTCCACCCCGTGCATGCTACGACATGAGAATCAAACTGGAATTCTCGGTGCATGGTATGCCTGAAGGGAACCACAGTACACCGGAATATTGCGAAGTTTGAGAACTACAGTTCTGCCTTAATTCCAGCGTTATCTCGCTAACAGTGTGATTCTCCGGGGAACCACAGCATGGATGACACAAACTCAGTTCCGGGATTTTCTATGTATTTTGGGGATCTAAGCAATCCAGGAAAAGTTGGAATCTCAGCAGCAGGAAATGTCCAACTTCTGCAGAACTCTAAGCCCTCTAACATCTAGAGGGAGCCAACTGTTGTCACAGTGAATCCTTCAGCAGTAGAGCATAATGCGAATTGCAGTTCGCTTTCGCAGCCCGACGACGACGCAGAGTTGACGCTAACTAACGTGAAGGCCCTCGGGGACCCACTGCGCTGTACGTTGCGTATGGCTTATGTCGAACAACATTCTGTACTCATGGACACGCGAGATACTCCGTCCCAGTGTACGCAACGTAGATACGCGATAACCACATGGGATGTTCACATGGCGTCCGGCCAAGCGGTTGACATTCGATTGCCGTAACCTTTTACAACCGTAGGCAACGCAGAGGATTGGCCATCCTTACGTCAAACCCACACCCAAGTGATGCGCTGGAGAAGGTGCTAATGATATCTTCGTACATGGTTTCCCGGCGTTGGATGCAACCATATTCGCTCTCTCGATAGGTCGACAATAGAAGCCCCAACCTCTACGTGGTAGGCGATGTTGCAAAGTGCACGCCAGGAAACGTGAAGGCTGTTCCGTCAAGACACCGCTTGTTCTGTGATTGCCTTCGACAGACCCTCAACGGACTCGACCTGCTCCGAGACGAAATGTGTTCCCCTGTGTCTGATTCAACCCAGTGGAGTTACAAACGATAACGAGAATTACCATAAATGGAGGTTAGGAATGCCCGCCTCACTCTGGTTGGTTCGAGGAGATTGTGAGAATCCATCGGTTATGTCCAGTTCTAGTGGCACAAGCGGGAAAGCATCTGCTGGTCCGAAGTACCAGCATCGATTGCCGTCAGGACACCTACTGTCTCCACTTGAGACGGGGGGCGTGTTCTCGACTGTCCTCGCCATCGCAGACCGGGGTCTACTGCAGCTAGGCCTGTACGCTGCGCCCAGCCATACGAAGCGTAATCCGTACCAATGCTCACAGGCAATGTGGAGGTGAGCATGATGACGAGCTCGACGGCTACTGTCGGTGTTACGAATCGGCATCAGGAATTAACACGTCGTACTAAACATAAAGGGCGAGTAACCATGCAGTAAGGCAGGTAGCCCTCGTCAAACTGTTTACCGGGCATTGATTGGGTGCCCAGGCTGCTACCACTTGCAGTGCATCGAACGAACACTTGAACCCCAAGCTTTTGCACAGCACTCCATTCGTTTCATACCTGGGCGACGTGATGTGTCCTGCCTTGCTCTTTGAATGAATAAGTAAATATAAATATAGAGCGTCATAACACAGTATCGCTTTCCATGGCTGCGTTTCCCGCAGAGGAGACCTAAACCAGTGGATTAGGTTTGCTCTGCGCCGCTACTGAAGCTGTTTTGTTAATATCGTATAGACAAGGCCCGAGCTCGAGGACAAACGCAGGGCACTTGTTCCAAAAGGACCCTGTTCTTCACCTCCGCAATTACCTGAAAAGTGTCAAATTTACTCTCCACATGAACCTGCTCATAGGCGTGTTATGTTGAGAGCCCAGTATTTGTGATCCCGGCCGTAGTGTGGTGCGCTTTTGCCAATTTGTGTGGGCCCCGTGCAGAACGTGAGACCTGGCTGTGAGCCCGCAGAGAGTTGAGAAAGCGTCTGGCCACTAATCAACTGGTCGCTCATCTCACACCTCACTGCTTTTGTGCTCTACGTAGATTCAGATCCGACTTGGCATTATAAAGACGGCACAGCCGAGCCCAGCCCATGCGAATCTTCAGCTCATTCGGTCAGAGGTGCTTTGGCGGGCATCATCTTCGGAGGAGCTGAAGATCGTACGGTCGCTGCGAAGCAATTGCCGCTATTTCAACCTCTGTCTCCTGCCCGAACTTTGCAGAAGACAATGTGGACGCTGAACTTTGCTGTCATGAGTCTCGCACTTACCGTCAGGAAATGAGGTTCAATGTCGCAAGTTTGGACCTCATGTTCAAAGCGACAAAATCACGTTAGTCCCATTTAGTATGCATCTCAATTAAACTCCGATGGAATATTCTGGAAGCCCGTCTGCACATTTTGGGTTCCATGACAACCTGTGTCCACTCACTGGCAAGGAGGTTACATCTCTGAAAAGAGTAGTAGTCGACGTGAACTCCCAGCTACAATCAATCACTGTACCTCTGCAAGAGTGCAATGCTAGTTTCGGATGGTTTCTTCCACTCTTCCCAATTCTGCTCAATCAAAAGGAAAGCGAGATTAACAATAGTTGGAAGCAGGGTGTACAAGAGCTGGAGTCCAATATTAAATATTGGGATGCAACCAATGCGGTTCAGTCTCCATCGCCTCTCTGCGAGAATGCAATGCTAGTATGGGATAGTTTCTTACCATTTTCCAAATTCTGCTCACTGAAAAGTAAAGTGAGATTTACTATGGTTGAAAGGAGATGTACAAGAGCTTGAAAATGAATAATATCATGATGTGTACAAATTTATGCTAAAATTCATTTGATTTTGAACTTGAAAACATATACAAACATATGTTTAAATGCAAAACAATAAATTTTTTCAACTACAAAAGGATGCAAAAGTAAGATTGAAGTAACCATTTTGAAGCTGTATAAGGAACTTGGTAGGCAGTCTACTCTATGTTCTTTCCTTATAATTTTAGTCTACATCATGAAAAATTCAATATTGTTTTTATTGAAGCAGTTATCAAAAAAACAGTTTAGCAAGATGGTTTTTTGAATTTGAAAACTATACATTCTTGAGATTAATCGATTTGTAAAGATAATGTAATGATCGATTAAAACTTTGAACGAAAAATCAACTTCTTCAACTATATAATCATGATTTTGATTAACATTTTCATAAGTTTTACAAATCTCAATAGCAATAAATTCTAACTAAAACTTTATGTCTACAAAATTATAAAGTATTGGTTTTTTTTCATGAGAACAATATTTCACTTTGACTTATGATAATCATGTTTTTTATCTAGAAAATCAACAAATAAAATGTAAAAATTATTATTTCTCTTGATGATTTTTGACAACAATTCATGAATTTTTATATGTTATAAACTTTAACTTGTATACATTTTGAATTACATATGGAATATATGAAAACTTAAGCTCATAATTGACGCCATTGATGAATTTCAAATTTTTTATTTTGTTTAATTTTTGTAAACATGATTGAGAAGATTTTTATAAATCATTAATTTTTATTTTTATACCGATATAAAAGTTACAAATTGAAAATCATTATATCATACCTTATAAAAATGATTTAATGCTTCAACTTATAGATTATTTGAAATCATGGTGAAATTTTGGAAAAATAAATAATGAATTTTATAGTATTCAATAAAATTCACACTTTAAAAATTTCATTTTGACGATTGCTAGTACAACAATGGCTAATTTTTGTAATCATTTGCTATAAACTACTTTGACATGTCACAATGATTCATGCACTTGGAACAACTTTTCAGATATTATAGCAAATAAAAACAATATCTTTTATTCTTTTGAAGCAATTTAAACTTCCACATCTTGTTGAAAAATGTTTAACTTTTTAGATTGTACATTTGCCTTATCAGGTGATACTATTATTTGCATTTTGATTTTGTGTACACTATTTCAAGGGAGATTGAGAGAGTATACTAAAAAATCAATAAAGATTCTTAGTATCTATTTATCTGACACAATTTTATTAATTTCTAATATTTAGAAATTTCTTGTATTAAGTCTTTAAGAGTTGAGTTTGAGTAATATTACTTGACTATATTTATCCGTCTTAGGCATAGATATCATTACAATCCGTTGTCTCTAGAAGCATTTGATGTCATAATATCTATTGGTGGTTGATTGTTAAGTAGTTCTTTGTCATGAAAGATGAAACGTCTATCAAAGAGATTTCACATTCACACGAAAAATCTAGAACATAGTAGATTCTAGCATCATCTTTGATATTAACTTTAACGAAAGGTTCAGTTCGATGCATATTTCAATAAAAAGAGTCAGATTCG